AGTTGAAATCAGGAACCAAAAAGTCCACCAGGATTTCCCACGTGGGTAGCAGAGCCCAGGAACTTGGACCATCTCCCACTGCTTTCCCAGGTGCATTAGCAGGGTGCTGGATTGGAAGCAGAGCAGCCAGCACTCAAACTAATGCTCCGATATGGGATGTTGGCACTGCTTAACTTGCTGTGCCACAGTGATAGCCCCAAGGAAAATACATTTTATAAAATTTTTAAATTCTAATGATTGCTTAATTTTCTCATTTCCTTCCTAGTTTCCCAAGTTAAATTACTTAGGATAAATTGAGGTAATAAACATTGAAATATTTAAAGGATTATTGTTGCCAGAAATAATTTTTTAAAAGATTTTTTTACTTTAAAATGCAGAGTAGGAGAGAGATCTTCCATCTCCTGGTTTATTCCCCAAATGGCCGCTACAGCCAGGGCTGCGCCAGGCCAGAGCCAGGAGCTTCCTCCCAGTCTCCCATGTAGGTGCAGGGGCCCAAGCACTTGGACCATCTTCTGTCTCTTTCCCAGGCACGTTAGTAAGGAGCTGGATCAGAAGTGGGGCAGCCAGGACTTGAACCAGCGCCCACATGGGATGCTGGTGTCACAGGCAGCAGCTTTACCTTCTTATAAAGTGTTTTAAGTATAAGTTTAGTATTTAGACATTAAAGACTTTTTAAATATTGGAATAAAGTGGAAAATAGCTTAGTAAAGTAATTTGGAGATTTTTAGGTTCATTTTCTCACTCCAGCAGTCATTTAAGAAAGGCAGAAGAAACTTTTTGAAAAGTTACTAAAATCCAGGACCAGTGTGGTCTATATTCCTGGGTGGTTAAAGTAAATCAAGAAGTTGTACGCTGCTTGGGGAAGGAAGAAATTTCAGCCTGGTCTGCAAGGGAAATGGTGTTATGGTGATGGTGGTCTTTATCGAGGTCCACAGGCTGGCCAACCTGTATAAGCAGTGAAGGGTCATCAGAGATGATGCTAAGAAACCAGGGGCCGGTGCCGTGGCTTACATGGTTAATCCTCCACCTGTGGCGCCAGCATCCCACATGGGCACCAGTTCTAGTCTCAGCTGCCCCTCTTCTGATCCAGCTCTCTGCTGTGGCCTGGGATAGCAGAGGATGGCCCAGGTCCTTGGGCCCCTGCCCCCGCGTGGGAGACTCGGAGGAAGCTCCTGGCTTCGGATTGGCACAGCCCCTGCTGTTGCGACCATTTGGGGAGTGAACCAACAGAGGGAGGACCTCTCTCTCTGTCTCTCCCTCTCATAGTCTCTTAACTCTACCTCTCAAATAAATAAATAAAAATCTTAAAAAAAAAAAAAAAAAAAAAGAAACCAGTACCAAGTGGACTCTCTTGGTGTGACTTCCCAACTGGGGCCAGGGAAATTTACAGACTCTTCTCATGGACATTAATTACTGTGAGGCTAACTTACTTTAGAATTTACATTCTTTCCCCTTAAATTAGTGATGATCTTAAAAACAGCAATTTAGGGGGAAAAGTAATTTCTGCATTGGAAAGCAAACTTTCAGTAGATTAATTAGGAATAGAAAAGACAAATTATGCATATCTCTGTACATATGAGGGCCCTTTAAATTTGTGGAAAAATTGAAATATTTTAGTACAAAAGTTGAGGAATTCATGCATAATTTTTTCAAAATACATGTTTTCCATGAGCTTTTTGGAGGCACCTCATATGTGTAACTCTATTAATAAAATTTGCATGTCACCTTCAATGCCTATACCCAACAATGATAAGCACTCTGATACAATACAAAGTGAAACATACATAAGTTTATATGTGTATGTAATTGAAATGATGTATCAGTATGCATAGGCATAAAAGAAAAAAATACACTGAAGAAATTACAAAGTGACTTTACACGAAAGGAAACTGGTGGAAAAATAAGCCACATCAGTAACCAAAATATTAAACTAAATAGTGATCCTGTTTTGTAGCTATTAGTGAACTTTTTAAAAATATTTATTCTAGTGATAAAAGTAATACATCTGTTATGCCAGGAATTTTGAGAAGAAAAAAATCAGCCATAATTCCTCCAACCAGAGATTACCACAGATATTATTTTATTTCCCTTGTTTTTTTTCCTATACATATACATATTCTCATTCTCCTATTTCAAAGTAATCATATGTTCTAAAGTTTTCTACATTGAGTTATTTTAAGTGATTACATATTAACTCAGTACACATGCAGCCATTAAAGACAATAGTAAAAATGTAATGTGAAAAGATATGTACAGTCTGTTATATGGGGACAAAAAGCCTTCCTGCTAGTGTTACTTATTATTTGTCAAAGACTAATTGTAAGTGTGGAGTACTGCACTGAGGTTTTGTGGGACATACAAAGAAAAAACTTCCCAGTTTTCAGTAAAAACTAAGAAAATATAAATCACAAAAAATGAAATAATTGAAAATGGCAAATGGAGAAAATAACGTTGACATAGACAACAGATATCCTTTGATTCATTTAATCTTAGAACCAAAATACTTAGTCCCATAATAGGAATTCTTCTTGGTTGCATGAAATTGTGGGTTTTTCTTGTTTGTTTTCTTAAAGATTTATTTATTTATTTACTTATTTGAAAGAGAGGAGAGAAGAGAGAGAGAGGTCCTCCATCTGCTGGTTCACTCCCCAACCAGCCTCAAGCACTGGAGCTGCTTCTATCCGAAGCCCAGAGCCAGGAACTTCCTCCGGGTCTCCCACGTGGGTGCAGGGGCCCAAGGATTTGGGCCATCTTCCACTGCTTTCCCAGGCCACAGCAGAGAGCTGGATTGGAAGTGGAGCAGCTGGGACTCGAATTGGTGCCCATATGGGATGCCGGCACTGCAGGCAGCGGCTTTACCTACTATCCACAGTGCTGGCCCAAATACTGTTGTTTTTTTTTTTTTTTTTAAAGATTATTTATTTATTTATTTGACAGGTAGAGTTACAGACAGTGAGAGGGAGAAACAGAGAGAAAGGTCTTCCTTCCATTGGTTCACCCCCCCAAATGGCCGCTACAGCCGGAGCTTCGCCGATCCGAAGCCAGGAGCTAGGTGTTTCTTCCTGGTCTCCCACGTGGGTGCAGGCGCCCATGCACTTGGGCCATCCTCCTCTGCCTTCCAGGGCCACAGCAGAGAGCTGGACTGAAAGAGGAGCAACCAGGGCTAGAACCCAGGGCCCATATGGGATTCTGGCGCCACACGCAGAGGATTAGCCAAGTGAGCTGGCCCCAAATGCTGTGTTTTATAACATAACCACATGGAGAGCTTTTTTAAACATACATATATAAAAGCAGTTAATAATTCCAAAATTGTTTTTTATTTTAGAAATGTCAATAACTGTCACTCATTGCTTTATAGTGATATTATCTTAGAATACTACTGTATCTTTTCCCCCCAAAAAAATGTAATCTCTCAGAGTTCCTAGTGTCATATCTTGTAAACACTCAGAAATGCCACTGGAATTTAAATTTCCATGCAAAGAGAATATTTAGGAGCTATATTATTTTTGAGAAAACAATATATTAAATATATGATTTTAATATTTTTAAATACTTAGCCCATGGAATCTTTATCATTACTGCTGTGGATTTGTGTTTTCTCCTCCTTGGTCAGAGGTTTCAGGTTTCTTTATCCTTAGAGTCATCCTAGATTTTGACTTTTCTCTTCAACTATAGAATCTTTTGTATGTAACAGTTTAGCTAGAAAAAAATGCCAACTGAGGAAGAAAAAGAAAAATAATATAAAATAGACAGTAGTAAACACACACACATAACAGCTTGGATGCAATTTATAAAAGCATATTTTCATGTACTTAAAAATACACAGGAATTGAGCCCATTATCCACCTCCCATTGTAGTACATACTACACATACTAGTATCAAGTCTACATTACACTTAAGAAACAGAGCAGCTTTTTTCAAATTAAATATTTATCCAGTTTGTGAATAATCTTGATTATGTAATTGAGGAGTTATATTTCTTTTAAACTTTCTGATTTTGTTCTGAATAGTTGTGTTTCTCATATAATTAAAGCCATCCACCTTTACAAAATGTATTCTCCTCTCTGGGAGTCATGAAATGCCTAATGATATACTAAGAAATATGTTGAAATACAAAACAATCTACAATCTTTACTTAAACCCTTTAAGTGAGTGGCTCTTAATCTTTTGGTGGACAAAAGATCTTAAGTTATTATCTCTCCAGAAAAGGTATACATAAGCATAGGAATTTCCAAAATATTTTAGTAGCTAATATCTAATATTTTCCCTGAATCCACATCCCTGGATTGTGAAACTCTCTTGAGTCTTTCTCATATATATATGGTTATGGGGAGGGAGAGAGAGATATTTTCCATCGTTGGTTCACTGCCCAGATGGCCACAACAACCAGTGCTGGGCCAGACCAAAGCTTGGAGCTTCGGGGTCTGCCATGTGGTCAGGGATCCAGTACTTTGGCCATCAGCTACTGCTTTCCCAGGCCATTAGCTGGGAAATGAATCGGAAGTGAAGTAGCCGGGACAATGAGCTGCCTCCCACATGAGAGTCACGTGCAGCGGCTTTACCTGCTGTGGTGAGCCTGTCTTTTATATTTTTATGTTTTATACTGTGAATTTAATGTACGTGTGCTCTTAGAAGTGTCTATAAATCTGATCTATAACACATTAGCAAAATTCTTAAACATTTCTGTTGCATTATTTACATATAAATCAAATTATTTTGTCTGTGATATCAATTAAATGAAACAGTTGTAAATGGCAAATGGAGAAAATAGTATGTTTATATAGACAATAGCACCTGTTTTATCAGTACATACCCTTTGATTCATTTAATCTTAGAACCAAGATACTTAGTCCCATAATAGGCATTCTTCTTGGTTGCATGAAATTCTATGGTATGATACTGTGTTTTATAACATGATATTTATTGTATTAGTAATATTTCTCTTTCTGTTAATTTGACAATTGTGTTTTGACCAACAGATTTTCTTTTCTTACTCTAGATTCTGAAGAGGCTCATTCTGTAAACCCTTCTAGTGTTGATGAAAATATTGACTCCGAAACAGAAAAAGACTCTCTCATTTGTGAAAGTAAACAGATACTTCCCAGTAAAGCACCTCTCCCATCTGCCCTCGATGAGTATGAATTCAAAGACGATGATGATGACGAAATAAATAAAATGATTGATGATAGGCATATTCTTCGAAAAGAACAACGGAAAGAGAATGAATCTGAAGCAGAAAAGAATAGTCTATTTGCAAAACAGGAGAAAACCTTCTACCCTAAATCATTTAAAAGTAAAAAGCAAAAGCCATCTAGGGTTTTGTATTCAAGTACTGAAAGTTCTGATGAAGAAATTCTTCAGAACAAAAAAGTTTCTACTCCATGTTGTATCCCTGAAACATCAAGTTCTGATATACAGACCAAAAAGGAATATGTACTTTCAAGTGAACACAAGCAGAAAGGCAAAGTTAAAAGAAAGTTAAAAAACCAGAACAAAAATAAAGAGAACCAAGAGCTGAAGCAAGATAAAGAAGGGAAAGAAAATACCAGGGTAACGAACTTGACAGTTAATGCTGCACTAGACTGTTCAGAAAAGGCCAGAGAGGAAGGGAGTTTTAGGAAATCTTTTAGCCCAAAAGATGAAACTTCATTACATTTATTTCATATTTCCACTGGTAAATCTCCCAAGCATTCTTGTGGATTAAGTGAAAAACAGTCAATACCACTAAAGCAAGAACATATTAAAACGTGTTTATCACCAGGAAGCTCTGAAACATCATTACAGCCTGATCTCGTTCGATATGATAACACAGAGCCTGAACTCTTGCCAGAAAGTTCAAGTGTAAAATCTTGTAAGCATAAGGAAAAAAATAAACATCAGAAGGATTTCCACATAGACCTTGGTGAAAAATCAAATGCCAAAATAAAGGATGAAGATCATAGTCCAACATTTGAAAATTCAGATTGCACACTGAAAAAAATGGACAAGGAGGGTAAAACTTTAAAAAAGCATAAATTGAAACATAAAGAGAGAGAAAAAGAAAAGCACAAAAAAGAAACTGAAGGTGAAAAAGAAAAATACAAAAACAAAGATGGTGCCAGAGAACCACAGAGAAGCGTGGAATTTGATAGAGAATTTTGGAAAGAGAATTTTTTTAAAAGTGATGAAACAGAAGATCTGTTTTTAAATATGGAACATGAGTCCTTACTGTTGGAAAAGAAATCAAAATCAGAAAAAAACTTAAAAGATGATAAATCAAGCAAGGAAAAGCATGTCTCAAAAGAGAGAAACTTTAAAGAAGAAAGGGAAAAAGTTAAAAAGGAAATTGAGAAATCTTTTAGGGAAGAGAAAGTAAAAGACCTAAAAGAAGAAAGAGAGAATGTACCCGCAGATAAAGAAACAGAATTCAGTTCCTTAGGTATCAATACCAGTGAGGAATCTGTAGGGCTACATCCAGCAGAAAAGGAAATGGACATTGAAAAACAAGAAAAACATATCAAAGAAAGTAAGGAAAAGTCTGAGAGACGATTTCAAACTAAAGAAAAGGATGCTGAGAAAACTGAAAGAAAAAATTCTGAAAAAGAGAAGAAGATAAAGCATGAGCATAAGTCAGAAAAAGACAAATCAGATCTTTGCGAAAGTGTTGACAGAGTAAAAGAAAAGGACAAGCTGTATTCACATCACGCAGAAAAATGCCATAAAGAAGGTGAGAAGACCAAGAGTATTACTCTTAAAAAAAGCGATGATAGAGAGAAAAGTAGGGAAAAGATGGATAGAAAACATGACAGAGAAAAATCTGAAAAAGAGAAGCATCTAGCAGAAAACAAAGAAAAGCACTTGATGGAGAAAAAAAAACAATCAGATAATTGTGAGTATACTAAATCAGAAAAAGGCAAAAGCAAAGATAAAGACAGGGAGGCAGATAAAAAGGAAAAATCTAGAGACAAAGAAAGTGTAAATATATCTAACTCTAAACACTTACAGGAAGAGAAGAAGTCAAGTATAGTAGACAGTAGTAAAGCACAACATGACAAAACCTTATCCCTTAAAGAGAAAACAAAAGATGAGCCTTTGAAAACTCCAGATGGAAAAGAAAAGGATAAAAAAGATAAAGATATAGATAGATACAAAGAACGAGACAAACATAAAATCCAGCTAAATAGTTTATTCAAACTAAAACCTGAAGTAGATAAGTCTAAACCTAAGTCATCACCAGCATCAAAAGATACTCGACCTAAGGAAAAGAGGTTAGTGAATGATGATTTAATGCAGACAAGTTTTGAGCGAATGCTAAGCCTGAAAGACCTAGAGATAGAACAGTGGCATAAAAAACATAAGGAAAAAATAAAGCAAAAAGAAAAGGAACGATTGAGAAATCGTAACTGTTTAGAACTTAAAGTAAAAGATAAAGAAAAAGCAAAACATGCACTAGCTGAATCCAAAAATAAAGAACTTACCAGATCAAAGAGTTCAGAGATTACTGATGCTTATATCAAGGAGAAACAATCTAAAGATACTGTAAGTAGCAGGTCACAATCTGTTGACACCAAAACTACAGTGAATTTAGGGAAGTCATCCTTCGTTTCAGATAGTAGCTTAAACAGGTCGCCTAGATCAGAAAGTGAAAAGCCAGGTCTCAGCTCTAGATCTGTATCTCTGATCTCTGTTGCTAGTTCAGAAGATTCCTGCCATACTACAGTGACAACCCCAAGGCCTCTAGTTGAGTATGACTCTGACTTCATGTTAGAAGGGTCAGAGTCCCAAATGTCCTTTTCCCAATCACCTTTTTTGCCAGTTGCCAAATCTCCTGCCCTTCATGAAAGGGAATTGGACAGCCTGGCTGAATTGCCAGAGAGGATTAAAACTCCATATGCAAGTAGACTAGCAACATCCCATCTCAGGTCATCTTCTGTAGAAGACATTAAACTAATTATAAGTGAGGGGAGACCTGTAGAAGTTCGAAGATGCAGCATGCCATCTGTCATTTGTGAACACGCAAAACAATTCCAAAATGTATCAGAAGAAAGCAATCAAGGTAGTTTATTAGCTGTGCCAAGAGATATTTGTCCTTCTCCCAAACTGGAGGTGTCTTCAAACGTGCCTGAAAAAGACCTTTCACATATGTCCCATGTACATTCCAGTTTTGCAGCCTCACCAACCAGATCTGTAAACAGCAAATATATTTCAGCTGATACCAATGTTATCAAGAGTACTGCTTCAGTGGGCACTTTAATGGACAGTCCTGTGCATTCAGAGCCATCTAATCAGGTTGGTGTGATCCAGAATAAATCTTGGGAGATTCCTGGTGATAGACTGGAATCGTTAAGCACCAGTGATGTTATCTGCCCAAATTCTAGTATGCCTGATCAAGATTCCTCTGTGCAGGGTTTTTGTAACTCTGAAAACAAAATACTCAAAGAACAGAATGCTGATTTTTTATCCCTGCACCAGACTGAACTGCCAGGAAATTCATGTGCTCAGGATCCAGCATTTCTGCCTTCACAGCAACCTTGCTCTTTGGCCAGCCAACCACTTTCAGATGCTGAATCGATTTCTAGACATATGTCTTTGTCATACGTTGCCAGTCAAGAACCAGGTATTTTACAACAGAAAAATGTTGTTCAAGTTATAAGTTCTGTTTTAGAAACTGATAACGAATCTTTAAAAGATGTAGAGAATAATTTTGTTCTAGATGTTCAGAAGACAGATACCTTTATCCCAGTATACTCTGAAAGCACCGTTCAGGAAGCAGCACCAAACTTTGAAAAGGCTAATACTTTACCCGTAGTGCCATCAGAAAAGGATTTAAATGGAAGTGATGCTGTCTCCCAGTTAAATACACATTATGCATTTAGCAAACTAATTTACAAGTCTTCCAGTGGCCATGAAGGTGAGAATATTACAACTGATGTTCAGATTATTTCACACGAAAGAGAAAACAAACTGGAGAGTTTGGTTTTAACAGACTTGAATAAGTGTGATTCTGAGTTATGTGAATTGAATGAAGGGATGCCAAAAGGAAACCTCAGTGAACAAGATCATCCAAAACATTGTCCTGAAGGTGAAAAGTGTTTGCTTCCCATTGATGATGAGGAATCTCAGCAAAGCACTTTATCAACTATGGAGAACCACTTACAACAGTCAGCTCAACCAGAAATGCATAAGTATGGCCAATTGGTTAAAGTAGAATTAGAAGAAAATGCTGATGATGACAAAGCTGAAAATCAAATCCCTCAAAGAATGACTAGAAACAAGGCAAATACAATAGCAACTCAAAGCAAACAGATTCTTACTAGCTGTACAGTGTTGTCAGAAAAAGACAGTGAATCCTCATCTCTTAGAGGAAGAATAAGATTAACTGAAGAAGATGATCCTCAAATTCATCATCCACGGAAAAGGAAAGTGTCACGTGTACCTCAGCCTGTGCAAGTGAGTCCCTCTTTACTACAAGCAAAAGAGAAAACTCAGCAGTCTCTAGCAGCCATTGTAGATTCTCTGAAACTCGATGAGATTCAGCCATATAGTTCAGAGAGAGCAAATCCATATTTCGAATATTTGCATATAAGGAAAAAAATTGAAGAAAAGCGCAAGTTGCTATGTAGTGTTATTCCTCAAGCACCTCAGTATTATGATGAATATGTAACATTTAATGGATCATATCTCCTGGATGGAAACCCCTTAAGCAAGATTTGTATTCCTACAGTAAGTAACACTGTCGTTTGATACCCATGTATAATACAAACCATGTATGTAATTTTAAGTTGTCTAGTCACATTTAAAATGTTAAACAGATAAAATTGTATTTAACCTAATGTATCAAAAATACTACTTCAAAATGTAATAATACAGAAAAATTAATGGATATTTACTTTTTTTTAACTAAATCTTTGAAATCTGGTGTGCTTTAGCACATTTCAATACAACTAGCTACATATCAGATAATGTTCAGTAGCATTGTGTGACTTGCGGCTGCCTTATTGGGCAGAACAGGTCTGTAGTATTTGCTTTTCCTAAACTGCTTTTTTCCCTTTCCCTTTTACCCAAAATAGGTATGTTTTTATTTCTTTGAAAGGCTTATGCCTCTACATATGCTTTTGATTCCATTCTTTCCTGAACCTTCCTCTATTAGAATACAGTTTTCATTCTGTGTTGTTTTTCGGTATTTGAAAGCATGTTTGAGTCTCCTCAGTTCCGGGAGGACGCAGTTTTCCCTTGACTAGGCCAGTTCCTGGAACTCAGCCTGTCTCCTCTGCACTCCTTGCCCTTGGAGAGTAGTCTGTGCTTGATATTTCAGACTCATTTCCTACTTCCTTAACTACCAAGCAGAGGCAGAGATCACTGAGCTCATCACTCCTACATGCACCGGTCTCTTACCATTTTTCTCTAGAATTTGACATTGTGACCATCTAATCCTTCATGGAACCCTCCCCATCCTGGTCTTAGATCCTAGCGCTCTCTGCTGGTTCCTCTGCCTCACTGACTAAACATTTTCTGTTTCTTATAATGACTCCTTTTCTTCATGCACTCTTTAAATATGAGTTCTCTAGTGATCCACTCTTCAGTCAGCTTTTTGCTGTTTGTGCTTTTCAACTGTGTGAATTATTTGTATAGTTTCATCAGTTTTCCAGGTGCCAATTAGTCTCCAAAAATTCTTAACCAGCCATATTGTCTTTGTTGACCTCCAAAGTCCAATATTAATGTCTTCTGGGCATTATTACCTAAATGTTCTTTACATACCTTGTCACAAGTTGGGTTCCCCCAGAAGCAGACAGATTGTGTGCATAAGGTTTATTGGTGAATGTTATCAGTAGTAAATGTGTGAGGGAAGCAGAATTGGGCAGAGCAAAGGAACAGTGACTTCAGCTAAACCCAGAAGAACTCTGGAGTAAAATGGTGATCCTTCTTCTTCATGGTGTGCCCTCAGGGTGGGCGCATGCCCTTGGCCACCCAACACTCTTCCCTAGAATTCTTCAGGAGAGACTCCAGTGAGAGCTGGCAGCCACCAGCACTCCTATAGCTGGAGAATATGAATTGCTTAGTCCTGCACCAAGACCTCAAACTTTTAATATGTGCCATGACATGGTTTGCCTGTCTCATCCTCAAAAACAAGACTGCTGTTGTTAGTGATGATACTAAAGTAGAAAAATGATCAGCCATCAAATTCTAAACTCTGTGTCTTGGAATGCTTCCAAACCTGTACTGTACCAACCACTACCTTGGTTTAGAGCCCATGTTATCTTTCACTTAGATCATTGGAGCAATAAGAAGCAATTTCCATAATTCAATACCTAACCTGTAATTTGCTGGTTTCCCATTGCTGAGAACTTAATGTCGAAACGTTAAGTATAATATAGCATACATTTTCTGGTTTGGCCCTAGTGTATGCCTCCTGCTTCAGTTTCTCACTGCTATTTCCAAACTCACCTGGTAGCTCAGCAAAATGGAACAGATTCTTCTACAGGAATATCTGGTTCACTATTTTTTATACCTTTGCTGTTCCATCTCTCTGAGATGTTCTCACTTGACCCCTTTCTCCATCCTTTTCCATGCCTTGGTTCTACCTGTGATGTCACCTGTACATGCAGTCTTGTCGAAATAAAATTGCTTGTATTTCCCTTATACCCCCTTTATGATGTAGTTAATCATATACATATCTGCATCATCTTCTGATTAAAGGCTAAGATACAACTTATCTCCTGTAGAATGAGTCCCATTTTATCTTCAGTCCTGAATACACTACTAGTGTCCATAACCATGTTTCTAGCATCTTCTGGAGTTCTCTTGAATGTCCCACAAGATCCTAAAATTCTTATGTTAAATACCTAACCCATTAATCTTATCTCAAATGTGCTCTTTTTGCCTTGTATACTGTAATTACTGTCATTTTCTGCTAATTTCCCATACTGGGAACCCAAGCTTCCTCTTTCTTTCTTTCTTTCTCCTTTTTAATCAAATCAGTCATGTTGATTCATCTCACTTGTTTTCCCTTTTCTTTATTACCATTGCCAGGCCAGGACTTAATTACCACCTTAAACTTTTCATCTAAATATGTAAATACTTAATATTCATTTATTGTATTGCATATACAAATAATTCATGTCTATACGCTAAGCATTGTACTAGTAACTTGATGTCAGAGATGAGCAAAACAGATATGGTGAGTTGCTGTCGTAGGTCTATAGTCCTGCTCTCTTCTCAGTCCAGTTTTTTTACTGTCTGGGTTCATTATAAAACACAGAAGTGACTATGCAACTATTAGACTAAACATCTTCAAGGGCCCCTAGTTTGCCCTCTAACGCCTATAGGTTAGAGTCCCAGTTCCTTATCATTGCACGCAAGAACCTTCCCTTACTTGTCTGGGCTTAGCTCTAGCTACTACCACTACTGTACGTGACTGCTGTATCTGGAGTCCTCAGACTACTCAGTGTTTCACATCATGTCTTTGCATATGTTGTTCTGTTTTTCACGGCCCAGTTCAGAGAACATCAAGAAGATAGAAGTTTTTTTTTTTTAGTCCCACATCCACAGAATATGACTGCTAGCACCTTTTAAATCTTCTTAAAAGATGTATTTATTTAGCAGGAGTAGTAGGTTAAAAATAGTATGAGTTGTAAATAAATGTTCATTTACAGATACTTTTTCAGCAAAATTATATTAATAATTTAAGGAATATAAAAGTAACCTTTTGTTTAAATATTGATGTACTTGGGGCCAGTGCTGTGGCGTAGTGAGTAAAGCTACTACTTGCCATGCCAGCATCCCATATGGGTGCCATTTGGAGTCTCGGCTGCTTTCACTTCCGATCCAGCTCTCTGCAATGGCCTGGGAAAGCAGTAGAAGATGGCCCAAGACCTTTGGCCCCTGCACCTGCACGGGAGGCCCAGAAGAAGCTTCTGGCTCCTGCCTTTGGAGCGGCACAGCTCTGGCTGTTGGAACCAGCTGGGGAGTGAACTATCCAATGGAAGAGCTAGCTCTCACTCTCTCTTGCTCTCTCTCTCTCTCTCTCTCTCACGCTCAGCACAGCTCCGGCCATTGCGGCCATCTGGGGAGTAAACCAGCAGATGGAAGATACCTCTCTCTCTCTCTCTCTCTCCCTCTCTCTCTCTCTCTCTCTCTCCCCTTCTCCTTCTCCTTCTCCTTCTCCTTCTCCTTCTCCTTCTCCTTCTCCTTCTGTGTAACTCTGACTTTCAAATAAATAAACAAATCTTTTTTAAAAAAGATTAAAGATTTATTTATTTATTTGAAATATTTATTTGAAAGAGTTACAGAGAGGCAGAGGCAGAGTTCACTTTGGGGTTCACTCCCTCAATGGCCACAATGGCCAGAGCTGCGCTGATCCAAAGCCAGGAGCCAGGAGCTTCTTCCAGGTCTCCCACACGGGTGCATGGACCCAAGCACTTGGGCCATCTTCCACTGCTTTCCCAGGCACATGAGCAGGGAGCTGGATCGAAAGTGGAGCGGCCATGTCTTGAAACAGCACCCATAGGATGAACAGCACTCCATAGGATGCCAGCATTGGAGCTTTACCCACTACACCACAGTGCAAGCCCATAACATTTTTGTTCCTTTTATTCTCTGACTTTATTTCTCCTTAATGGTTAAGGAATTTTAACTGTAACAAGCAGTATCATAGGCTTGAAATATAGATAGAACCATAGGAAACACATTTAAATTACAACTTCGGGAGCCGGCAGCAGCGGATTAACGCCCTGGCCTGCAGCACCAGCATCCCTTATGGGCGCCGGTTCTAGTCCCAGCTGCCCTACTTCCTATCCACCTTTCTTCTATAGCCTGGGATAGCAGTAGAAGATGGCCCAAGTCCTTGGGCCCCTGCACCCCCGTGGGAAACTCAGAAGCTCCTGACTCCTGGCTTCGGCTCAGTGCAGCTCCGGCTGATGCAGCCATCTGGGGAGTAAACCAGTGGATGGAAGACCTCTCTCTCTGTCTCTACCTCTCTCTGTAACTCTTTCAAATAAATAAATAAATATTAAAAATAAAGAACTTGGTACAAACTATTTCAGTAAAGGTTCGGATAAACAGTGTTAGGTTGTCTTAGTACAGTCTACCTTTTATATGTATGTGTACATAAATATGGAGAGAGTGAATGTTATGGTGTGTACTATCACCTCTTATTCTGCCAAGATTACATAACACAAATTTTATTCCCTCTAAGCAATTGCTTTTGATTATAATAGAGTTTAGTTATAGCACATGTTATTTCAAATGAGGCTATAAACAGAGCTGAGAAGTATTTCTGGATGTAGGGTGGAGTTTTTTTTATTTGAAACGCAGAGTTACATAGAGGCAGAGAGAGAAAGCGCGCACTTCCATCTGCTGGTCACTCCCCAAATGGCCACAATGGCCAGAGCTGGGCCGATCCAAAGCCAGGACCCAGGAACTTCTGGGTCTCCCACGTGGGTGTAGGGACCGAAGGACTTGGGCCATCTTCCCAGGCACATTAATTTTTATTTATTTTATGTTTTTATTTGAAAAGCAGAGAGAGGAGAGAGATATTCCATCTGCTGGTTCACTCCCTAAATGCCTTCAGCAGCCCTGGCTAGGCCAGTTGGAGCCAGGAACTTGGAACTCCAAGTCTTCCATGTAGGTGGTATGGACGTGAGCCATCTTCTGCTGCTTCCTCAGATGTGCAATAGCAGGAAGCTAACAAGAATAACGTAAACCCTCCCTTGAAGCAGGTTGAAATACAACACATATGCCAAAGTTTATTAAAAACCTTAAAACACTGTGGAAGGTATGTGTAGCAGGTTAAGCCACTGCTTGGGATGCCCACATCCCATATCAGTGAGCCCTGGCGACTCTTATTTCAGATCTACCTCCCTGTTAATGCACCTGGGCAACAGCATTTGATGGCATAAGTATTTGAGTTCCTGTCACCCACATAGGAGACCCAGACATAGGTCCTGGCTCTTAGCTTCAACCTAGCTCAGCCACAGCTGTTGGGGCTATTTGGAGTGCATCAGTGGATGGAAGATTTATATGTCTTCCAGACTGCCTTTCATATAAATAAATCTTGTGTTTAAAAAGTTCTATGCAGGGGCCGGCGCTGTGGCATAGCAGGTAAAGCCGTCACCTGCAGTGCCAACATCCCATATGGGCACTGGTTCAAGTCCCGGCTGCTCTACTTCCGATCCAGCTCTCTGCTATGGCCTGGGAAAGCAGTAGAGGATGGTGCAAGTCCTTGGGCACCTGTACCTGCGTGGGAGACCCAGAGGAAGCTCCTAGCCGGCCATTGCAGCCAATTGGAGAGTGAACCAACAGATAGAAGACCTCTCTCTTTCCCTCCCCCTCCCTCCCTCTCTCCCCTCCCCCTCCCTCCCTCTCCTCTCGATGTAACTCTTTCAGATAAATAAATCTTTAAATAAAATAAGAAGTTCAATGCAGATTTAAAGAGTCGTCATTATTTTATATAGTTCCAAGTGACTTCAGGGTTTTTGGGTTTTGTTTTTGTTTTTGTTTTTTGTTTGTTTATTCCTTTCTTCCATTGGTTCACTCCCCAAATGGCCGCTACGGCCAGTGCGCTGCGCCAATCCGAAGCCAGGAGCCAGGAGCCAGGTGCAGAATCCGGCACCCCAACCGGGACTGGAACCCAGGGTGCCAGCACCACAGGCAGAGGATTAGCCAAGCGAGCCTCGGCGCTGGCCGACTTCAAGGTTCTTACATGAACTCCAGCCTTGTTCATCAATGGCTGTGCTTTTTGAGTTGCTAGACTAAAATGCATTTGTTCAAAATTTAATTTAAAAGCCAGGATCACTTTAACACTACACTTTATTTTTCTTTCTAGTATCGTTTTATCCATGTGTTTCTCCTGACTAGCTATTTGACATTTTATAAAAGTAAGTTTTCCTCACATTTTTTTTTTTTTTTTGACAGGCAGAGTGGACAGTGAGAGAGAGAGAGAGAAAGGTCTTCCTTTTGCCGTTGGTTCACCCTCCAATGGCCGCCGCGGCCAGCGCGCTGCGGCCGGCACACCGCGCTGATCCGATGGCAGGAGCCAGGAGCCAGGTGCTTTTCCTGGTCTCCCATGGGGTGCAGGGCCCAAGCACCTGGGCCATCCTCCACTGCACTCCCTGGCCACAGCAGAGGGCTGGCCTGGAAGAGGGGCAACCGGGACAGAATCCGGCACCCCAACCGGGACTAGAACCCGGTGTGCCGGCGCCGCTAGGTGGAGGATTAGCCTAGTGAGCCGCGGCGCCAGCCAGTTTTCCTCACATTTTTAAAAATAATTTATTTATTAGAGTTACAGAGGAAGAGAGTGAGAGAGAGGTCTTCCATCCACTGGTTCACTCCCCAAATGGCTGCAACAGCTAGAGCTTAGCCGATCAGGAACCAGGAGCTTCTTCCAGGTCTCTCATGTGGGTGCAGGGGCCCAGGTACCTGGGCCGTCTTCTACTGTTTTCCCCACCCATAGCAGAGAGCTGGATTGGAATAGGAGCGGCAAGGACACAAACCGGCACCCATATGGGATTCTAGTGCTGTAGTCGGAAGCTTAATATGCCACAGTGCCGGCCCCTTCCTCACGTTTCTGTGCTCTAACTATAAAACCCATTACCATCCTCAGAGTCAGTTTAAGTATTTATCCCTCCATTAAATTTTTTCTCACAGTTTAACTGAAATGCTGTCGTTTTTTTTTCTAGGTAAAATAAAAAATTTAAAGAAAAAAAATAAAATGGCAGGCCAAATTCCCAAAAATCAAATGAACAAGGAGCAAAAGAGACTTCGTAATGTGGTATCTACTATAGACACTGATAACACACTCTACAGAGACCTTACCCAGGGATTCTAAGAATGGGTGATACTGGGAAGTATCAACAGTCAGTCAGTCAATCTCCCTCCCTCTCTCTCTCTCTCTCTCTCAAATTTTAAAATAAATATATTTCGGGGCCAGCACTGTGGTGTATCGGGTAAAGCCTTACCTGCGGGGCTGGCATCCCATGTGGGTGTCAGTTCAAGTCCCAGCTGTTCCACTTCCGATCTAGCTCTCTGCTATGGCCTGGGAAAGCAGTGGAGGATGGCCGAAGTCCTTGGGCCCCTGCACCCACATGGAAGACCTGGAGGAGGCTCCTGGCTCCTAGCTTCGGATCAGCACAGCTCAGGCCATTGCAGGCATATGGGGAGTGAACCAGTGGATGGAAGACCTCTCTCTCTGTGCCTTACCTTCTCTATCTGTGTAACTCTGACTTTCACATAAATAAATAAATATTTTAAAAATCAAGACATTTTTAAACTAGTTCAGGGCCAGCATTGGCGTAGTGGATGGGTAAAGCAGCTGCCCATGGTGCCAGCCTCCCACATGGGCACCGGTTCGAGACTCAGCTGCTCCACTTTTCATTCAGCTCCCTGCAAATGTGCCTGAGAAAGCAATGGAAGATGGCCCAAGTGCTTGGGTCCCTGTGCCCACCTGAGGGACCTAGAAGAAAATCCTGGTTCCTGGCTACAATGTGGCACAGCCCTGGCCATTGCGGCCATTTGGGAAGTGAACCAGCAGATGGAAGATCTCTGTCTCTCCCCTCCTATTTCTAACTCTACCTTTAAAACAAATTAATCTTTTTTTAAAAAGAATAAGAAATTTGCTCTCCTTAAGACTTCTTAAAACCTTTAATATGTTAGTTGGTAGACTAATAAGACTAACTTGTTGGAACCATTTCCCTGAGATCACTCTGGAGACCCAGTGTTCTTGGAACATACTTTAGGAAAAGCTGGTTTTCAGAGTAGACTGCAACATTTCTTACTTTGCCCCTGCTGATCTTTCCATCCTCATATCCTACCATTCCATACCCCAGATTTGGTGTCTAGGAACTCAAGACTGCCTGAGACCACCTATGGATTCTATACTGTGTCTTTGTTTCATGTCTTGAGTCCTGTGTTTGGGAATTAATTCCCTCCCTTCTTTGCCACAGTGACTCATTTCTCTCATTACTCTGGTTCTTCCCTTAAGATGGAGCTCAGGCATTACTCTCCCTAGAAGCTTTCTGTGTTCCTTGACCTAACTACAGGCCTTTGTGATTTTGCAAAACTCCATCAGTAGCACCAAACCATCTACTGCAGCTCTTGTTGAATCTAAAGCAATTCAGTTCATAGAACATAGAAATTAAGCCAATGTATTACTGTGATCAGAGATCTGAAAAGGGATCAGGCTCAGTAAGGTGGCATCCACATTTCCCACATTATGAATCAACTCATTTGACCTCACAGGCTTTTCAGCCTGCCGTAATTCCTGTGCACTGATTATAGAGTCTTAGTAGACCCATGTTTGGTTCTTTGTAAGAAGTTTTCGTATATGTTGTACAATTCCTAAGGCACCACATCAAGAAGTAGGTAATACCTGAATATCCGATTTTCATATGAAGTTGATGGTTAAAACTTTCAGAAGACCCAAGTAAGTAATTTTACCATGGCATTCAGACTTGAGAGATCTTATTTTACTGAATATGCTGACGATAATTTTAAGCAAAGAAAAGAAGGGGGAAACACATATTCATGGCTCATAGCTGACTTTTGCCAATACTTGGAAGTCTCTTTACATTAATAGTGGAGCTCTTGCATAGATAGTCAACCACTTTAACCTTTTGGCATTTACCAGAAAGCACAGTCCAGCATCCTATCAAATTAGAATTGAACCATTGAGCTTTTTTGAGTATGGATAGACAAAGTTATATGGGAAATCATGTAATAATAAGTTTTGAAAAACCATTAAAGAAGCCGGCGCCGCGGCTCACTAGGCTAATCCTCCGCCTTGCGGCACCGGCACACCGGGTTCTAGTCCTGGTCGGGGCACCAGATTCTGTCCTGGTTGCCCCTCTTCCAGGCCAGCTCTCTGCTGTGGCCAGGGAGTGCAGTGGAGGATGGCCCAAGTGCTTGGGCCCTGCACCCCATGGGAGACCAGGAGAAGCACCTGGCTCCTGCCATTGGATCAGCGCGGTGCGCCGGCTGCAGCGCGCTGGCCACGGCAGCCATTGGAGGGTGAACCAACGGCAAAAGGAAGACCTTTCTGTCTCTCTCACTGTCCACTCTGCCTGTCCAAAAAAAAAAAAAAAAGTTAAAGAATTTGATCTACTTTTATATAAGGTAGTTCCACAAAATGTAACTCAGGACTTTAGTGTATTTTTATCTGTCTGCAAAAACACTTAACTGTACAGATCCCTCGACTGCTGTAGTCTTCAGAAGTATTTGTTCTCTGTGCATACCAGCTCTTCTGTTCTTGTGACTTCTTCCTCAGTCCCTCCCTAAGTGATCATATACTAATACTCTAAAGAGAGTCTCTCCATAGTAACTTCCTTGGTCTCTCTAATTTGTTCTTTAAAATTTGTTGTAGCCTTAGAATCAAAATATCTAAGTGTACTAGAGTGCTCTGATGTGTTTCAGATAGAATTGGATTGACAGAGAAATAACAGTTGTATAACTGGTATTGTGTTTGTCACAAAACATCAAAATTTAAGTAATACACTAAATGAATTTGATTTTAAAAGAATAGCTCATTATTATAAATAAAACTTATTTTTAATTATATTTTTTCAATTAGATTACACCACCACCTTCATTGTCAGATCCACTTAAAGAACTGTTTCGGCAACAGGAAGTTGTAAGAATGAAACTACGTTTGCAACACAGCATTGAAAGGGTAAGATTTGTTTATATTTATGCTAACAATAGCAAATTCATGTGTTTTTGTGAATTTTTTATTAGTAGATTTTTATTTAAAACCATTTTGAGAAACGGTTTTTTTAATCTTGTGCTTATTCAATTAGATGGAGAATTTTAACTCCATTTTAGGATAGCTGCTCCCATATTACAATTCATGTTGAATATGTTTTTAATTTATAAAGGTCTCTGGTAATTTCTCTTCATTTATTGATTTTGTACAGCTGTCGCAGTAGATTCCTAATGGGTCATTTGGCTTTCTTCATTTTAAATCATTGTTTTTTGTGTACCAGCCTGCTTTAGGGCCAAAATGTAGAACACTTACAAAAGTTGTCCTAGTTGTCCTTTTAGGTCTGCCTCACCACCTGCTTTCCAGTGGTTAATCTTGACGTGAATTGACAGGACAAGCCGATGTTCCCTGGTCAGTGCTGGGGACTTATGTTTTTGCTGCTCCCCTTACCATGGTTTGAGTCTGGACAGTGCCACAGCCTCTCAGGGTACCTTGGTCTATGGAGCCTCTGTAGTGCCGGAGTTCAGGCTGCTGGTGGCTTTTTGTCAGCGGGAGAACAGAACCTCTGGATGGATTCCTGGAAAGCCTCACTAGCTGGCAGCAGCTGGAAAAAGTTCCTCATTAGCATCTGTTAGCATGGTTGTCATATCATTTCACTGTGGTGGCAGGGACTTGGAATTCTATGGAGAAAGCGCATGCATCCCAGTCTTTCAGTGGCTACAAGACACGCAGAGATGCCTGCTCTTGATCTCAGTGGGCCTCAAGGCAAGATGTCCCTGCCCACTAGGATGTGCCTCCAAGCATTTAGCTGTGAGAATGCCCTTGAAGATCCTGCGCTCATGACTCCTCCTCCATCAGACATGGACAGCATCCCCTAGAAGCCAGTGATTCCAGAGCACAAGTATCAGCACCTCGTCAAGGTGGAGGAAGGAGAGGCCAGTGCGTCTGCCCCTGCCGTGACTCTGTCAGCATCCACTGAGAGTATAGACAAGGTGCCAGTGGTGAAAGCTAAAGCTGCCTATGTCATCATGAATTTGCTGATCACAAAACAGACCTAGGAAAGCATTCAGCATTTTGAGCAGTGGGCAAGAATGAGAGATACTGGTTACACACTCAACAAAGGCCTTATCACCAAGGAGAACGAGTAACTGTGACTGGCAGAAGCACTCCCCAAAGTAAAGCTGCAGAGTTCAGAAATCACAGAAGAAGGGCCAGGGGTGTGGCATAGAGGGTAAGGCCGACCCTGTGGTATAGCAGGTAAAGTGGCTACCTGTGTTGCCGGAATCCCATAAGAGTGCTGGTTTGAGTCTTGGCTGCTTCCACTTCCATTCCAGCTCCTTGCTAATGTGCCTGGGAAAGCAGCAGGAGATGGCCTGAGTGCTTGGGCCCCTGCACCCTTGTGGGAAACCTGGAAGAAGCTCCTGGCTCCTGGTTTTGGCCTGGCCCAGCCCCGGCCTGGCCATTGCAGCCGTTTGGGGAGTGAACCAGCAGATGGAAGATATCTCCCTCCCTGCCTTTCTCCCTCTCTGTCCCTTCCTCCCATTTTCTCTCTCCCTCCCTCCCCCCCCCCACTCTGCCTTTCAAATAAATAAAATAAATATTTAAAAAAGAAAAAGAGGGGCCAGTGCCATGGCTCACTTGGTTAATCCTCCACCTGTGGCACAGGTATCCCGTATGGGCACCGGGTTCTGGTCCTGGTTGCCCCTCTTCCAATCCAGCCCTCTGCTGTGGCCCGGGAGAGCAGTGGGGGATGGCCCAAGTGCTTGGGCCCCTGCACCCACATGGGAGACCAGGAAGAAGCACCTGGCTCCTGGCTTCGGATCAACGCAGTGCCAGCCGTAGCAGCCATTTGGAGAGTGAACTAATGGAAGGAAGACCTTTCTTTCTGTCTCTGTCCCTCTCTCTTTCATTGTCTATAACTCTACCTGTCAAATAAAAAAAAAAAAAAACTAAAAAAGAAAGAGAGAAATAGCCCATGTCACCCCATCCACCAAACAGCAGCAGTCACTCTTCCCCTAAGTAGGGGCCCAGAGACAGGTTCTCTTCTGGCTCCTCCACAGCCCAAATCTTAGCACCATGGGTTCTAAAAATGAGAATAAGGACAAAAACTCAACAGAGAAAAGGAAGCCTGTTTGGACCAAGGCCCCTCCGAAAGTCTGATTCTGAAGGTTTATTCCACCTAGGCCTACGGAGGAACCCAGAAGCCCTTGCCAATGGAACTGATACGTGCTCGGGCCACCCAAATGGCTGAAGACCCAGCAACTTTCAGGTTGCCCAAGATAGACATCCCAGTGATAGAGGAGAAGAAAACACTGCAGTGGACCCATCACTTCAAACCCTATGACTTGAATTTGTTTATACCCACTGGCTTCTAGAGCCTTCTAGAGACCCTGGATAGAGGGCCTCTTATGCCCTACTCCCCTTTACCTCAGCTCTGACATAGGAAAGACTTTTTTTTTTTTAAGGGATTTATTTTTTTATGTGAAAGGCAGAAATAGAGAGATCTTCTATCCACTGGTTTACTCCCCAAATGGTTGCAACAACCAGGGCTGGGCCAACCCAAAGCCAGGAGCCAGCAGCTTCTTCCAGGTCTCTCGCATATGTGGTGACAGGGGCCCAAGGACTTGGGCCATCTTCTGCAACTTTCCCAGGCACATTAGCAGGGAGCTGGTTCTGAATAGAGCAGCCAGGACTCGAACCGGCACCCATGTGGGATGCCGGCACTGCAGGTGGCAGCTTGACCTATGCCACAGTGCCGGCCCTATGGAAAGGCATATTTTTAAAAACTCCTAGGGGCCGGTGCTATGGCATAGTAGGTGTAGCATCCCATATAGGCGCCAGTTCAAGTCCTAGCTGCTCCACTTCCCATTCATCTCCCTTCTGGTGGCCTGTGAAGACAGTGGAGGATGGCCCAAATACTTGGGTCCCTGCACCTATATGGGAGACCTAGAAGAAGCTCCTGGTTCCTAGCTTCTGATTGGTCCAGCTCTGCCATTGCAGCCATTTGGAGTGTGAACCAGTGGATGGAAGACCTCTCTCTGTGTCTCTTCCTCTCTGTTTGTAACTCTGCCTCTCAAATAGATTTAAAAAAAAAAAACTTTTTAAAAATAAACAAATAATAAAAACCCCCTAAAGTTGAGGATAGGGTAGGAGAGACATAATTGGTTTTGGGGAAGCATTAGTGCAAAGCCTGTTCTTGCCATGTGGAAGAGACTATTTTGTACTGCTTTATGAAGACTCTCTCTTTGATAAACAGGAGGTCTCATTACCTGTTTTTGTACCATTTATCCTAGACAAGAATTTAGTTGTCGCTTACTAGATAGTGTTTGTGCTATTCCAGATCTTAGGTTCTGGGTTCTTTGACCGCTGTCAACATGAGCCTTCACAAATGATGACAAATCAGTGTTCACTGACGAGTTAGACAACTTGGTCCTCTTGACTGCTGGTGCTGTGCTCCAGCCTGGCCAGTGAGGGGACCTCTGAAATGTTTGAGAGCTAGGTAGAGTGAAAAACCAGTCTTGGCAGAGATCTCTCTTTGTGAGGCTTTTGAAATTGGGGTCTCTTGCCTTCTGGGCAAGTTGCTGGGTCCCTTTACCCTACAGCCTGTTTTTCAGTTGGAGGCAGGCACACTTCTTTTATACATAGCAAACACTAGTCCTGTAAATCTTTTCTTGCACTGTAAAGTGAGATTAACTGTAATTCGATTGAAAGCTAAGGGAAAAAATTCAGTCTACTGATTTGGTACAGAGAGATGGATGTTAAGCTTTAATCAAGATGATGAGTAGTTAGGTGATCATCTTGTAGTTCATGTAAAACTAGTGTTGCCTTATTTTGATTTCCTTATTCTGATCAGGGCCTGAAATTTTTGAGTGTAGGTTGTGGGGGGGGGGGGGGGTCGGTATTGAAGAATTCAAATTTTTTCTATTTTTTTTTTGTTTTTTTAAGACTCATTTATTTATTTGAAAGTCAGAATTCGAGAGAGATCTTTCATCTTCTGGCTTACTCCCCAGATGGCCGCAACAGCCAGGGCTGGGCCAGGCTGAAAACCCAGGATCTAGGAGCTTCATCTGGGTCTCTCACGTGTATGGCAAGGCCCAGACACCTGGGCCATTTTCTGCTGCTTTCCCACACCATTTGCAGGGAGCTGGGTCGGAAATGGTGTAGCCTGGACTCAAACCAGCACCCACATAGGATGCCGGCACAGCAAATGATGGCTATGCCACAGTGCCAGCCCCCAAATTTTTTCTATACGGAAGCATTTTTCACCAACATGAGCTTCATACTTTGATGGAACACATACCTTACTGAGGAAAGGAAATAGAGAAGCTGCCTTTTAACTTCTCATGGTGTAAGTTCAGTCTTTGTGTTGAATGCTGTCTCAGATACCTTTTGTTTTCTTCTTTTGGGTAAGTACCATGTTTACATAAGGAGCTGACCTCCCCCATGGAGAGGTCCTGGGGTCTAAAATCACCAAGGCAATCAATTTGTTTATGTCTTCTGATAAGATCTCTTCTTTTGACAAACTTCCTTACTACTGTCTCAAAAAAAAAAAAAAAGGACAGGGAAAAAGCCTTTCTAGTTATTTATAGAAATTAAAATAATTCCACTCTGATTTATAAAATTAACACCGTTGTGATATCTTTGGGGAGAGTCAGGGATCTCTGAAATGTAATGTAAGCTATGATCCTTCCTTATATGCACATACGCACATCCTCATATGCAAACAAAATCTTGTATATAATTTGGTTCATAAATGATTGACTCATGAAAGCAGAAGTTCTTCATCTTTTTTGTACAGTTGAACCCTGTAACAATTAGGGAAATTTGGAACCTCTTTCTCAAATCATGTTTTTGAATAAAGTAAACTTCATAAAATTTTAAGAAGAAACAACAGATACAAACAAGCACTGATACAGAACTTAGAACACTATTATTATTGACCCATCATCAATAAACAGTTTGTTAGCATAAGAAGTCAGGTCCGTGTTACACAGAAGTTTAACAAATAACAAAATGACAGAAGAACCACAGTCCTGTGTATTATAGTAGCAGATCTAATATGAATGCAGTAGTCCCCTCACCCACTTATTCATTGGGGATGTATTCCAAGACCCCCATGGATACCTGGAAGTACAGGTAGTAGCAACATTATATATATATGGTGTATACTTACACATACATACCTATGATGAAGTTTAATTTATAAAATAGATGTAATAAGAGATTGACCACAATAGTAATAAAATAGAGCAATTTTAATAATACCTGTAACATTCTCTGCATCCCTACTTTTGAGCTTTGGGGGTCATATAAAGTTTACTTGAATACAAGTACTGTGATACTAAAGTCCATCTGGTAATTTGTTCAAATGACTAATGGGTAGGTAATATATACAACATGGATATGCTGGACAGAGGAATGATTGACACCCAGGCAGGACAGAGTATGATAACTCAAGATCTCCTCACAGTTCTCAGAATGACATTTAGTTTAAAACTTTTCAGTTAATAATTGAAGCCACAGAAAGCAAAGCCATGGATAAGGGGGAACTACAATAACTGCTGGAAATTTGAAGAAGAAATTAGTATAAATTTTTGAGGGAATATCTAATAATTAAAATGTAAATTGAAAGTATTTGTGATTTCTGTGGATAATGAAGCACAAATATTTCTGCTTTGTAGTTTGTGGACTGCATTTATAATTGAAAGAAATGCTATTGGGAGTTTACTGAAAATAAAATATTTCCCAGTTGAAGTTCACAGACTTGACAAAGAGATCTGCCATCTACTGGTTCAATCCCCAAATGGTCACACAGTCAGGGATGGACCAGGCTGAATCCAGGAGAAAAAAAGGAGGCAATGTCCAGCTTTTTTTTTTCTTAAATAGCAATGAAGTTTTTGGATACCTATTTCAAAATAACTTGTACTTAATAAATCATAAATGTTAGACTTACCTCTTTTGAGTACCATTTGTCACATAAGAATTAAGTTAATTAGTATCATGTTTCCATATCTTTTCACTAATTTGATTTAGCTGGATATAATGTGGCATGCATTCTCCAACGTGAGAAGACAAATTCTTGTCAGTCAGGGAAAGACTGTGGATCTTGATGGAGGGGAGAAGATAAGACCCAGCCTTTTTATTCTCCTTGTCCAGTCTCCCAGAGGCCAATAAAATGAAGCCAATAAAATGAAACCTAGTGTCCTATTACTGGGAACTTACTGGCATCACTGCCTCTTTGCTGGACATTCTACCCGGCAACAGTTCGCAGGTTATCCCCAAATGGGGCTAAGAGTATATGGTTACCTCTGGATGGCACAAGTCTAGCCAGGATCAACATGAGTTGGGTTTGTTTTGTTTTGTTTTTGACAGGCAGAGTGGACAGTGAGAGAAAGGTCTTCCTTTTGCCGTTGGTTCACCCTCCAATGGCTGCTGCGGCCAGCGTGCTGCAGCCGGCGCACTGCGCTGATCCGATGGCAGGAGCCAGGTGCCAAGCACTTGGGCCATCCTCCACTGCACTCCCTGGCCACAGCAGAGAGCTGACCTAGAAGAGGGGCAACCAGGACAGAATCCGGCACCCTGACCGAGACTAGAACCTGGTGTGCCGACGCCACAAGGTGGAGGATTAGCCTATTGAGCCACGGCGCCGGCCGGCCATGAGTTGGGTTCTACAACTGGACCCTAAGAATTCAGTCTGCTAAATGCAGAAAATCTTAGATCATTTCATTAAGCTTATGATGGGTGATTCCGCATATTATATAATTGGAAGGTGCTGTGATTGACAGAGGTTTATAAGGAGTTGGCATCAGCATTCGATACATTTATTTATATGAAAATATTCATTATAAAAGAGAAATTTGCCATAAGCAAAAAGCATGAAATTATGCTTCCAAACAAAAATTTGAATATGAATTTTCATAGCTGCATTTTTTCTCCTCAAGGAATCATTTGCTATCAATTCTTTTTTTTAATTTAAAGAATCCAACTTCATACATTTAACATATGCAGATTTGAGAACATGATGATTCTTCCCCCCCACCTCCCTCCCATCCAGAGTCCCTGCTCTCTTCCTCCTCCCTCTTCCTTTCTTATTCTTATTTTTTACAGGGATCAATTTTCAGTTAATTTTTATAAGATTAACTGTACTCTGAGTTCACTGATTAGTATGAAGGAAAAAAGAAGAACAAAAACATTGTTCCCTGACAGTCAAGGCAAGGGCTGTTCAAGCCATCCCATCTCAAAGTGTCAGTTTTGCTCCTGTAGATTACATTTTAAGTACTCTATTAGTTACCACAGAACAGAGATACCATATGGTATTTGTCTTTTTGTGACTGGCTTATTTCACTAAGTATAATGATTTCCAGTTGCATCCATTTTGTTGCAAGTGATAGGATTTCAATATTTTTGTACCCTGTGAGGTATTCTATAGTGTACATAGCAGCATTTTTAAATAATAGACTCAAAGCAAAAAATCTATAGGGGAAGTAAAACATTACCTCTGCTCTGTGAGGACTTGCCTCAGCATGAGAATTAAATTTACATAAGACAGATTATCAGGGGAAAAGCATACATATTTATTTCATGTAAGTTTTAAGTGATATAACGTGTAAAACTTACTGCTTTTATGCTAGGTTGAACAAATAAAGGAAAAGTAACACAAAAGGAAAGTATAGTTAATTTAATAAGGTCTTTTTGTATGTACTTTTCTTTGCCTTGACTTTGCATCTCTGGTAATAAGAATGTTTCTTTGGGGGCCAGTGTTGTGATAAAGCAGGTAAAGCCAACACCTGTGACTGCAGCACCCCATATAGGAGCCACTGTGAGTCCAGCTGTTCCACTTCCAGTCTAGCCTCCCTGTTAGCACACCTGGCAACACAGCAGAAGATGGCCCAAGTTCTTGGGCCCCTGCCATCCACATGGGAGACGAGATGAAGCTCCTGGTTCCTGGCTTCAGCCTGGTCCAGCCTTGGCCGTTGTGGCCATTTGGGGAGTAAACCATTGGGTGGAAGATCTCTTTTTTTTTTTTTTTTTTTTTTTTTTTTGATAGGCAGAGTGGACAGTGAGAGAGAGAGAGAGAAAGGTCTTCCCTTGCCGTTGGTTCACCCTCCAATGGCCGCCGCTGCAGCCGGCGCACCGCGCTGATCCGATGGCAGGAGCCAGGATCCAGGTGCTTTTTCCTGGTCTCCCATGGGGTGCAGGGCCCAAGCACCTGGGCCATCCTCTACTGCACTCCCTGGCCATAGCAGAGAGCTGGCCTGGAAGAGGGGCAACCGGGACAGAATCCGGCGCCCCAACCGGGACTAGAACCCTGTGTGCCGGCGCCGCAAGGTGGAGGATTAGCCTATTGAGCCACGGCGCCGGCTCAGGGTGGAAGATCTCTTATCTCTTGCTCGCTCGCTCTCTCCCTCTCCCCGTCTCCTCCTCTTTCTCTTCCTCTCTCCCCTCTCTGTAACTCTGCCTTTCAAATAAACAAATCTGAAAAAAAAAAAAAATGAATGTCTTTCCTCCAGTGTAGAGAGGGTATCTTTCCATTGGAAATTTTATCTCCTGCTTTTGGGAAGAAAAGGGGACAGAATGTTCTTAATCTGTTTTTAGGTGACTACCTCAAACCAATCCTTACGTCAAAGGGGCATATTTTGGGGTGGCATATTCTGACACCCTTCAAACCCACATGTCTTTCAACTGATGAATGGTTAAACAAAATGTATATCCATTAGGTGGGGTATTATTTGGCCATAAAAAGAGATGAAGTACATTTAATTCATGCTACATTGCGGATGAACCTTCAAAATATTGTGCTAAGTAGAAAAAGCCAAACACAAAAGCCTGTATGTTGTTTGACTCCACTTGTGTTAGATGTTCCGAATAGGTAAATCCATAGAGACAAAGGGTAGATTCATGAATGCCAGAAGAGAGGGAGGAGGGGTTGTGGAGGGTGACTGCTAATGAATGTGGAGTCCTTTATAGTGTGATGAAGATGTTCTGGAATTAGGTAGTGATGGTTGAACATCTTGGTGAATATATTGAGGCAGAGGGGAAGGACAGCAAGTATGGTTATCTTCTTGGAATCTGTTATCTTGCCGGCGCCGCGGCTCACTAGGCTAATCCTCCGCCTTGCGGCACCGGCACACCAGGTTCTAGTCCCGGTCGGGGCCCCAGATTCTGTCCTGGTTGCCCCTCTTCCAGGCCAGCTCTCTGCTGTGGCCAGGGCGTGCAGTGGAGGATGGCCCAAGTACTTGGGCCCTGCACCCCATGGGAGACCAGGATAAGTACCTGGCTCCTGGCTTCGGATCAGCGCAGTGCGCCGGCTGCAGCACGCCGTCCGCGGCGGCCATTGGAGGGTGAACCAACGGCAAAAGGAAGACCTTTCTCTCTGTCTCTCTCACTGTCCACTCTGCCTGTCAAAAAAAAAAAATCTGTTATCTTAATAAAAATTTTAAAAGCCACCATTAAACATTTAATAAATAATTTTTAAAATGCCAATTTGAAGAGAGAAAATTTATTTACACTTTTAGAACACTAGGAACTCTCAAAGATTCTTAAGCCATACTGTGAAGAAAAATCTATTCTGAGACTCAGATCTTTAGCATGTTTTAAGTTCTTTAGTGTGTTATATTTCATAAACAGGTTGTTGAAGAATTTGGGGCTTTTTTTATTTGTTCAACTAGGAAAAACTCATTGTGTCCAATGAACAGGAAGTTCTACGGGTTCATTACAGAGCTGCAAGAACACTGGCAAATCAAACACTGCCCTTTAGTGCTTGTACTGTCTTACTGGATGCGGAAGTGTACAATGTACCATTGGATTCTCAGGTAAGATGCTCATTGATAATTTGCTCTCAAAAATGCACTTCAGCTGTGTTTAGAATATATTTCCATGGAAGAAAGTGAAATTCAGCAGCCATTAAAGCTCAGAGGGGAAAAAAAAAATTCCAAACCAAAAATCTTTTCAGATCAGCTAAAGTGCTCTAAACATTAGAAGTTTATATTACAAAAACAGATAATCACAAAACACTTAGGTATTTAGAATCATGCTCTTAAAGGTAACTTGTAATTTGTTTCTGAAGTAGATATTAGACATTAGTTCTGACCTTTTACCAGCTGGAAAAATGTTGTATGTGAAAAACAACACATGACGGTGGAACACTAGGTTGCAACACAGCCAAGTAGGACCAGGCTTCTGGTGTTATCTTGTTTGTGGGTAGAATAAATGAATTCTGAAAAACCAGAGCTATATTTTTAATCGAGTTTACTGCCCACATGTAAATTCTGTGACTTCAGAACCAGCCCACTTAGTTATCAGAATTTTTTGTGTCTTAACATACAAGAAATTCACTCATTAGAAGAGAAAACAATGACTAAACTATAAACACATATAAAAAATGTGAGTGCAGAAATGCTGTTTAAAGCAAGGAAACCTAATAATCTTCATACAAAAGATATAGGGTGTTTGATATAGTCGTGAAGGACCCCACTTGGAATGTCTGCATTCCATATCTGAATATCTGGGTTTGAGTCCCAGCTCTGCTCCCAGTTTTAGTTTCTGGCTAATGCATACCCCAGGAGATAACAGGTGATGGCTCAGGTATGTGGTTCTCTGCCTGCCACATGAAAGACAGGGATTGAATTCTGGACTCCCAGCTATAGCCTGGCCTGCCCATCTCTGGCCATTACAGGCATTTAGGGAGTGAACCCACAGGTGGGAGAGCTCTCTGTATGTATGTCTGTCTCCCTCTGCCTTTCAGTAAATAAATTAAGATTGAACTAGATGAGAAGATGTCAAACTTTAGGCCACCAACTGCTTTATTTCAAAAGGAAGTGTTTAGAGATATCTGAAGAGGCTGTTAAGATGAATAATTGGATCTTAAGAACTGTTTGACTCTAAGGAAATAGATATCAGAGAGGCCATTTAAGGACTTTGTGGAATTTCTAAATTTAAAGATTTCAATTCGAGACCCATGCTCCGCTTCTGGTCCAGCCCTCTGCTATGGCCTGGGAAAGCAGTAGAAGATGGCCCAAGTGCTTGGGCCCCTGCACCCACGTGAGAGACCAAGAAGAAGCTCCTGGCTTCGCATCAGCACAGCTCCGGCCATTGGGGCCAATTGGGGAGTGAACCAGTGGATGGAAGACCTCTCTCTCTGCCTCTACTCTCTCTGTGTGACGCTGATTTTCAAATAAATAAATAAATCTTTAAAAAATATTTATTTATTTATTTGAAGAGCAGAGTCACAGAGAAGCAGAGGCAGAGAGGTCTTGCCTCCACTGGTTCACTCCGTAGTTGGTTACAGCAGCCAGAGCTGCACCAGTCCTAAGCCAGGAGCTTCCTCCGGGTCTCCCACATGAGTACAGGGACCCAAGAATTTGGGCCATCTACTGCTTTCCCAGGCCATAGCAGAGGGCTGGATTGGAAGTAGAGCAGCCAGGTCTCAAACCAGCACCCATATGGGATGCCAGTACTGCAGGTGGTGGCCCCACTGGCCACACCACAGCACCAACCCCCAACAATTCATCTTAACAGCCTCTTCAGACATCTCTAAATATTTCCATTTGAAATAAAACAGTTGATGGCCTAAAGTTTGACATCTGCCCATCTAGTTCAAGATTAACTCATTTATTGAGAGACATACAGAGAGATCTCCCATCTGTTGGTTCACTCCCTAAAGGCCCTTAAAAGCCAGGAATGGGTGATCCAGGCCAAAGCTACAAATCTAGAATTCTGATCATGTTTCTACCTTTTTACAAATAAACTTTTAGGATTAAAAGAGATTCAATGATAAAAATCCTAAATAGTCAAATCATCTTACTTTAGGACCATGAAGGAAGTTATAGCTGCTAAAAATGTGAGTAGTTTGGGCTGGCGTTGTGGCATAGCAAATTTAAGCCACTACCTGCAACGCCAGCATCCTATATGGGCACCTGTTCAAATCCTGGCTGCTGCACTTCCAATCCAGCTCCCTGCTAATGCACCTTGGAAAGCAGCAGAGGATAGCCCAAATACTTGGGCCCCTGCACCCATATGGGAGACCTGGAAAAAGCTCTGGGCTCCTGGCTTCAGCCTGGCACAGCTATGGCCATTTGTGGAGTGAACCAGTGGATGGAAGGTCAATTTCTCTCTCCCCCTCCCTCCCTAACTTTGCCTTTCAAATAAATAAAAATAAATGATCTTTAAAAGGAAAATGTGAGTAGTGTGAATGGGGATTTGGAACAGCAGCTAAGACATCACTTAGGATGCCCACATCTGTTATGGGAGTATTTGGATTCAAGTCCCAGTCCCAGAACTCCTTCTGGGTCCACCTTATTGCTGATGGGCACCCTGGAAGGCAGCAGGTGATGGCACAAGTATTTTAGTCCCTGCCCCCCCACATGGGAACTTGGATTGTGTTTCCGGGCCCTGGTTGTTTTGGACATTTGGAGAGTAAATCAGCAGATGGAAGATCTGTCTGTCTGTCTCTCTCTCTCTCTGCCTGAGTAGTGGGATTGTGGGTCTACCTTAGGCTGTGTGTCACTGTGACAGCACCGGTAGTAATCACCATGGCAGTAGTGAGAGTGAGTATTGGAGTGAATCCTGCCAGTGTGCCCAAGCGTTGCGATGAGGGCTTTAGAAGCACTCTAGGCCGGCGCTGCGGCTCACAAGGCTAATCCTCCACCTGTGGCGCCACCACACGGGATGCTAGTCCCAGTCAGGACGCCAGATTCTGTCCCGGTTGCCCCTCTTCCAGGCCAGCTCTCTGCTATGGCCTGGGAGTGCAGTGGAGGATGGCCCAAGTGCTTGGGCCCTGCACCCCCTGGGAGACCAGGAGAAGCACCTGCTTCCTGGCTTCAGATCAGCGAGATGCACTGGCCGCAGCGTGCGGGCCACAGCGGCCATTGGAGGGTGAACCAACGGCAAAGGAAGACCTTTCTCTCTGTCTGTCTCTCTCTCATTCCACTCTGCCTGTCAAAAAAAAAAAAAAAAGGCACTCTGAATTCTCAAAACAAGCTTAAGATAGATGTTCTTGGAGTTTTGACACAGCAGAGTAAGCCGCTGCTTATGATACCAGCATTCCATGTTGTAGTGCCAGATCTCCCTACTAATACTCCTGAGAAGGCAGTGGAAGACGGCCCAGATACTTGGGCCCTGCCACCTACGAGGGAGACCCAGATGGAGTTCCTGGTTCCTGGCATTCAGCTTTTCCAGCCCCAGCTATTGCAGCTGTTTGGAAAGGGAACCAGCAGATGAATGATATTCTCTCTCTCTCACTCTCTCACTCTCTCACTCTCTCACTCTCTCACTCTCTCATTCTCATTCTCACCCTGGCACTGTGCCTTTCAAAAAAATAAATAAATCTTTAAAAAGATGCTTTGTACTTTTCAAATAAATAAGTAAATCTTTTTTAAAAAGGCACTCATATTACAGAAGAGAATATTAAAGAGTATATAGTTCAAGATTATACAGTAAGGTAGAGAGTTCAAATTTGAATATAACCTATCTTAATTCCAAAGTTAATTTTTTTTCTTAAAGATTTTATTTATTTGAGAGGTAGAGTTACAGACAGTAAGAGACAGAGAGAAAGGTCTTCCTTCTGTTGGTTCACTCCCCAGATGGCTGCAACGGCTCCTGGAGCTGTGCCTATCCAAAGCCAGGAGCCAGGTGCTTCCTCCCGGTCTCCCATGTGGGTGCAGGAGCCCAAGCGCTTGGGCCATCCTCCACCACTTTCCTCTTCCCGGTCTCCCACGTGGGTGCCAGGTCCCAAGCACTTGGGCCATCTTCTACTGCTTTCCCAGGCCATAGCAGAGAACTGGGTTGGAAGAGGGACAGCCAGGACTAGAACTGGTGCCCACATGGGATGCCAGCGCCACAGGCAGAGGATTAACCATATGCACCAAGGTGCCGGCCCCCCAAAATTACTATTTTAAGAGTTACTATAAAATTTCTTTGTGCACACACCAAAAGATTAGTCATGAAAAAATGTCCCCTGCATCTGATAAAACTTAACATTACAATTATTTTTTTCAACTTTTATTTAAAAAATATAAATTTCCAAAGTACAACTTTTGGATTATAGCGGCTTTTCCCCCCATAACCTCCCTCCAATGCGCAAACATTAAAATTAAATCTGCAATCAGTTAATGCCTTAATAATAATGTCAAAAACAGAGTACTTCATGTTGTGTACCTTTTTGAAAAACATCTTTGACTTAGAGCAATAGGATTCATCATTACTAAAAAGAGCATATGCCATAAAAATGTTACAATTGCACGTACATTTTAAAGTGGCTTGTTGTGTTTTATGATATTCAACTACTTTTAATGTTCTCTTTCAGTCTGATGACAGTAAAACTTCTGTAAGGGATCGCTTTAATGCAAGACAGTTCATGTCTTGGTTACAAGATGTGGATGATAAATTTGACAAATTAAAGGTATGTATGTTTAGCAATCAGTTTAAATGAGTGGCTCCCCCTTCTTAACACAAACTGCAGTCATTAGGAAGGAAACAGTGGCTAGTCCTGAAATCTCTACTGGCTACAGCTGGAAAGATAAAGGGAAGTAGAGACCCCAAGTCCATTTTAAGAACTAATACTATATAAAGGAGGGGCTACCAGTGTAGGTCTCTGTGTGCACTATCAAGTATACCTGTGCACCGTATTTTGCAAATCTGTAAGGAAAATTCAGATTGTGAGTTACTTCAAAAGCCATTTGTCTCTGGATTTTCTTGATTCCTTTGATAATTTGAAATCTTCTAAATTGAGGGAGTATTTTCTCAAAATTAAAGTCTAAAAGGAACATGAAGTTACAGACCCAAAAGTAGTTAGCATGTTGCTACGAACAGGGTAAAGCAGAAATGGACTTACAATTTGAAGTCAACTTTTCAGCAAAGCAAACTTATCAAACTAATCGATTAATTCTTCTCCTTTTAAATAGACCTGTCTTTTAATGAGGCAACAACACGAAGCTGCAGCTTTAAATGCTGTCCAGAGATTGGAATGGCAGCTCAAACTCCAGGAGCTTGATCCTGCCACCTATAAATCTATCAGCATCTACGAAATCCAGGAGTTCTATGTTCCCCTCGTTGATGTTAATGATGACTTTGAATTGACTCCAATATAGCGGTGGTTGTTTCCTGCTGGCGTTGTCCTGACCGGATGTGCTCCAAGTGCTACACTGTGGAATACTGCCTTTTGACGCAAATACTGGTGTTACGCCTTTGAATTGGTTCAGTTGAAGTTGGTTGTGTAGTCAACCCACTGTCACTTGATGAGAAATAAGGCTTATTTTGGATCTGAGGTCCAAACACAGTTTCTAGCGGGAAACTGTTCCTTATGTTGGTGAAAGGTAACAGTTGCATTAGAGCATGTTGGCAGACTGTGGCAGGCATTGAAAACGCGAAGAATCTGCTAACAGCGCTGGAAGTTGTTAGCTCTCTCATGTGATGAGATGACCACTGGTGTTCAGCTCTCTTTCAGGTCTTATTGAGAAGATATCCGTAAACTACAAGGCTTAATTTCTACCAAATAGTTTCTAATGTGGAAGAAAAACTTGGCACAAAATTTCTTGAGTTTAATACATCTGTAAATTAATTGTACATTTTCTTTTTGAAAGTTTTACTATTGTCTTCCTTTTTAATAACTTATTTTATACATATTGTGCAGATGTAAATCTTGTAATTAAAGGTCACAGTGTATCCAAAGGGATTGGTAGTGAGAGCGTGTACAGAGAAATAACTGTAAACTGTGTCGTCCTCTGTTTTATTGGACCAAAGTCGTGGTTTGTGTGGAGCGCAGTAGTAGTGTGTTCAGGTAGCAGAGCTTCAGAAAGCATGCATGTGTTTGAGTTAGCTTGTTTTCCTCACCATAGCTGTAAGAGTCGTGACTTGGTTGTACCGCATGCTTCGGTAATTTAACTCTCTCCATAACTGATGCCTGGAGCAGTGTAAGGCGTTTCATGCTCGTCTCCTGTGGTAGAGCTTGTGACTTACTGTGTTGGACCTATTATTTAGAATTAGTCAGACAGAGAAACTTAGCTCTTTTCTCATCTCACAGTAGAGCCTGTTTTCCCCCAGGGGAAAAAAAATGCCTTTGAATGAAAATTCTAAAATTGTAAATGTCTATTTTAATACTCAGCAATGAATGAATCTGTGAATATATGTAAATATGTTTAATAAATTTTATTGGTCATGTTATATCATTGTAAAACTTTTTTACATTGCTTAAATTTAAAGTTTTAAGCTTAATAACCTTTGCACTTTTAAAATAAAAACTGAGTACTAGGATCAAAAAAGATACTTGATGTCAAAATAAGTAAAAGAAATTAAGACTATTCCAATTGATCTCTGAAATGTTTATGGAAAATTAATTAACATGTATTTTTCCTTGTATCAAGATGCAAAGCATATAATTTGCAAAATTTTATACTTGCAATAAGACTTGGTATGCTATTTTATAATAAAATAATCAGCAATATACTTAGAAAAAGTCCGGTTTCTCCTGTAACATGATGTAGATGAAATATTCAGGACTATTTCAGATCTGCCACCTGCTGCAGGACTTGTTCAGCATCTTTGAACGGAAAATGAAGTTAATGTAAAATTCATCATAAGTATATGAGATAAAATTTAAGAAACTTTCCACAAACCTTTCTTGAATTCTGCTTTTATTCTGATAGAGAAAAGTGAAGAGAAGATATAAGGGGTGACGTGACTGAAATTCACTAGCAAATTGGCTGTCCCAGATCATGGGAGAGAATCTTGAAGTTTTTGAGTGCAAAGGTACATATTAAGCTTAGGGATATTGGAATTTTTACATTAATTTATATTTTAATTCTTTTTATTTTAATTCTTACTGTACTTGGCATGCGCAATAAAGCAGCACGTGTAAAAACTACACAGTGCAAGGACTTTATCATAAAGGTTGCTGTAGTTTCCTTTAGAGTTTAGGTGAGAGATTTTTGGCCCTTTTTGTTGGATAAATGGGCCAGAAAGGCAGGGTAGATTTTGAAGCACTGGTTTTGTTGAAGTTGAGTTTTAATTAAAACTGGGAACATGAAAAGCTAATTTATAAAAGCAATACTTTTAATGCAAAAAAATGTAATGCAAACTTTGTTTCTACTTTTGCCTCAAAAGGAAATTTGATGGGATAGTGTGGCAAATCGTAAAAGTCAAAAACCAGATTATTGAGCCTTGAAGTTGTAGAAAATAAGAGGGGTAAGTTTCCCGAGCCTTCCTTCTGCTGGTCCACTCAGGAGAGGGGAGGGGCGGGGCGGGGCGGGGCTGTCACTGTCACTGTTTGGCCAAACAAAACAGGCTCCCCCAGAGACAAGGGAGCAGGCGAGAATCTGGTGAGCTTTAGCCGCGCCAGCTTTGCCATCTTACCCAGGTCTCGCTCTTGAGTGGTGCCTCAGAAAGCTGGAGCCTCCTGCCTGGGCCCACCCATCTCCTCGGTCAGGTAACTCGGAGCTAATGGGGACAGCTTCAAGTTACTGCCTTCTCATTGGACATGTCTAATCACCGAAGTTGCTGAGGGCTTCTGACATGGAAGATAATCTAAAACCCTGAAATGCTAGGGAAAACGTGGAATGGGCCGTATACCTAAAAAGGTTATAGGTTCTGAAAGAAAAACAAAAGTGGTTAGTTTAATCAGTGATTCTTTTTAAACTATTCAAATATCATGAACAAGATACTAAATTGTACCTAAGGATTTGTATTTCTTTAAATCTTGTTCTAAATCATATCTGTTTAATAAATGACTAGTTGATATTTGTGCATGTTATTTAATAAAGAGTTATATTTTTATAGAAAAAATAAGAGTGAAATGTGTGCTAAATTTTTTTTTTTACTTAATTTCTCACTCCCGTATGACTAAGCCAAACACCAGTGTTTAGTTGGGCAGCTAGCAAAACTGCAGAAACATTCATCCTGAGAGAACGAACAGCCTTTCAAGTTCAAATCTTGATTAATGACGCCTCAGCTAAGATTTGAATCAAGTATTAGATATGCTGCAAACTTTATAATTACAGAAATATCAGGCAAAGACAACCTAATGGGACTTAGAATTGTAGTTATCTAGATACTAATTGCAGAGACAAATGTGTGATTTTCTTTCCCAAAAAGTTAGGAATATTTGTATATCCTATCTCTAATATGCTAACACATAAAGACTCAAGATTTTAAATAGAAGAAATTAACTCTAAAATACATGAGTCAGTCTTTATATTTAAAGAAGGGCATTTTCATCACTTTTTTAAAAGATCATTTTCAAACATTCAACATAAAAATATAATTAAAAGAAACATTAATATCTTGGGAAAGCTGAAGTTTAATGGTTAAAATATATGGTAACTCATCATTTTCTTAGTGGCTTCTTGGAGGACCTTTTTGTAACCTGAAAAGGAGTTTTTGTTTTGTTTTGTTTTTTGGTTTTTTTGTTTTGTTTTGTTTTGTTTTTTGTTTTTTTGGACAGGCGGAGTGGATAGTGAGAGAGAGAGAGAGAGAAAGGTCTTCCTTTGCTGTTGGTTCACCCTCCAGTGGCGGCCGTGGCCGGCACGCTGCGGCCGGCACACTGCGCTAATCCGAAGGCAGGAGCCAGGTGCTTCTCCTGGTCTCCCACGTGGGTGCAGAGCCCAAGCACTTGGGCCATCCTCCACTGCACTCCCTGGCCACAGCAGAGAGCTGGCCTGGAAGACAGGCAACCGGGAAAGAATCCGGTGCCCCGACCGGGACTAGAACCCGGTGTGCCGGCGCTGCTAGGTGGAGGATTAGCCTAGTGAGCCGCGGCGCCAGCAGGAGTTTTATTTAACAGTGAAAAGCACTCATAGAAGGACTGGCTGGACTTTTCCAGCAGTTAAATGCTATGCAACATATGCAGAGAGTACAGTTCTTCTACACGTGTGGCATCTCTGTTGCAGGAAATGGTCTATCACATTTTTTGCCTAAAGATAAGCCCAGTGTCTGCTCACATGGGGATTCCGTTTTTTAGTCGAATAGACTCCTTGAGCCAAAGAACCATGTGAGGCACACTTACTGAGTCCTGCATTTTTAAAAACGGTACTGCATCCAAACACCTGACTTGTCCTAGACAACCAGCTTTTAGGTAGCCGTGCTGTTAATATAGATATGAGAGATGCATATGTTTGCAAGTTAAGGAGCCCCACCTGTCCACCTAAGAACATTTCTCAGGCCCTGCCTCGATTTTTCTTAAGTGTTAACAGTTATGCAAATACAAATCCTCAGATGTCAACTGGGCCATTTGATAAATCCTGACAAATGTGAACACTCAGCGTGTCCCTCATCGAGTGCCAGGTTCTCTAAGAGATGTCCAAGGCCCCACAAAGTTCCCTCATGCCCCTCTCCAGGTAACTCTGCCTGCCCAAGGCAGCGCTGCTGTTCCCGTCACTGCGAGTTGGGTGTACGCTTGTGCTTGGCTCCTTTCTCAGCATGAGGCCTTGAAATCCCCGCTGCACACATCACTGATGAGTCGTAAGTTATTGATGAACAGTGCATTGTACACATTGACCCTCTTTCTGGTAGTAGTTGGGCTGTTGACAATATGGGACTATTGTGAATAAACCTATGACCATGCAGCCGTGTTTTGTGGATGTCATTTGTTGTCTCTTGGGTGCATTCTGTCAAGTACAATTACCAGGTCAGAGAGTGGGTGCATGGTTTGCTTTGTTGGAAACTAGCAAAGTGCTTGTGCCGCTCAGTTCCCCCACAGCCGAGGAGAGGCCCGTTTGCTCTGAATCCTCATGCGCAGGTGGTGCCGTCATTCTTGGGTGTTCGCCATTCTGGCGACTGTTGTATCTGGCGGTTTCATTTTATACTTCCCTGCTGATGAGTGAGGGTCATTATATCTTTTCATATGGCTGTGGACTGTGCCTTCAGAATATTTTGCGCCTTTTTTGATTGGCTTGGCTCGTTTTCATTGACTGTAGGAATCATATACTGCATAGAAGTCCTGTGCCAGATACAGGCATCACGGTGTGTTCTCCCAGTGGGGCCTCCCTTCCATTATTCTTGGTGACCGCTTGCCTCACTTTCTGTAACACTTGAAGGCTGCCAGTAAACTTCCCCCTGTTTACTCAGTATCCTAATCTCTCCGCCCTTTGCTGAGAAAAGGTATTTTCCCCTTAGATTCCAAGCAGCCCTGAGGCCAGGGAGGTGGGCCTGCCTTGAAAGCCCCTAAGGTTGGTGATAAGTTTTAGAAACCTCTTCCAGAATTAACCCATTGTTGACATTCTCTCCACATCAACTAAGGGTGCACCTGCTCTTCTTGAGTTAGTTCCTGATACTGCTGTTGTTCGAGCAAGAAGGTCCAGTAGCACAGGTGGGCTTTGAGGAGTGGATGAGGGGGCTGAGCCATGTCCTGCGGGCACACTTTCCAGCTCGTCATGCTGAGTTCCCCAGAACACACTCTGCGCATGGAGGTGCCAGCAACTCGGTGACTGATTTACCTGGGTCATCAGATCTCACACTTGATGATTGTGGGCCCCTTGTACTCCTCAGAGGACATGGAGAACTTGTGTTTATGTGAACTGGCTGTTGATATCTGACATTCAGAAGTTAAAGCATCAATGCATTTCATGTTTATTTTTTGTTGTAAAATGTTTCCTGAGATAAAAATGAGAAAAGTACATTCTTTGACATTCTTGCTAATCATTTCAGTGCAGCTGGAGTTTCCTTTCTGCTTTTACACTCCACAGTGGGGGTCTGTTTTGGCTTTATGTTACTGGAAAACAGCTGGTCCCACACTAATATGTCATAGGAAAAGAGAAGAATTTTAATAGATTTTCAGATAATTGTGAGTTATTTGTTGATTGCACATGAAAACATGGCAAGTAATCATTTCTAAAAGGTTAGGTAAACTTTGAATGAACTTTCCCTGTTTCTGTTACATTAACAACTAGTGGCCAGTCTTGTACTCTGTGTGAATCTTTCATGATTACCTGGTTTTGTAACATCATGGGTGATCATTTGGAAAATATCAGTTCGCTAAAGTATCCAGATCTCCAAATGTGGACACATCTCATACAATACCCCAAAAATTGCACGTGTTCATTTGTCACCAATCTCGCCGAAACGGCCTTTAAGTGTCAGGAAGCTGTTGGGCTCTATGTGACACACGTTTTCCGCAACTCCAGTCTGTGATGGGAAGCGCAGGCTTTATCCATGGCCACACACATCGCCAGTTGCTTCCATTAAAGGCATGGTGATTTCTTCATTAGTCAAGAGAATGTTTGCCAGTGAGCTGAGTTTGAATAACCCCAGTGTCTCGGTCGTTTTTTCAAGTGCCAGAGGCATCCGTAGAGAAAAGCACTGCGCTTGGCTACACCTCCACCAAGGGCTCTCTCCAGTCTCTGTATTCAGGTGTGCACCCAGTGACTGCATGCCTCCTGCCACGTGTGTACAGTGTTAGGAAGACGTGAACCACAGGCTGAGATTTCAGCAGGTCAGTGATTTTACCGCATTGACCAAGCACATTTTTTAAGTGTGAGAGCTTGGCAGGTGGGGATGCTGTGACAGCTGATACGGTTGGTGCCCCTGCCTCTTCTGCACAGAGGCACCTGCGTTTGTGCAGAGGATTGCTTTAAGGCAGGCGGCAACCAAATTAAAAGCAAATCCTGTCCTCTCCTTAGGGAAACAATTTTGACCTCAGAAACACCTTCGGGGTTCTAGACCCAGAGAAGGGCCAGGGACACTTGATTGAGAACTGCTGGCCTCCCTCAGCACTCCCAATACAATAAAGGTGAGCCAAACCTGGATTATGAACTCACACAGGGTGAGTGGGGCATAAGCCGCCACTTGAGAGACCCACATCAGAGTGCCGGTTCCAGTCCCGGCTCCCCGACTTCTCATCCAGGTCCCTGAATGAGCTCACAGAGGCTATCCTATCCAAACCATAGCTGAAATCTGTGAAGTTTTGAAAGAAGGGCCTTTTGCATGAGTTTTCTGTTGCTGCTGTGGTTGTCAGAAGTCATCTGCTCTTAAAGGTCACCTCCAGCCTTGCCACAAGGCCCCCTCCTTCTCGGGGTTATTAATGACACACACATCTGTCCCGTGCACTGAATCGCTGACTTCCGCCGTCAGGGATCCCCAGACAACATTTGAGGGGCTCCAGTGATTAGATCAGTATCCTAAGGTCAACTCGTGCGAATGAAGGGAGTGACATGTCAATCATTTTCACAGGCCTGCCACAGTCAAGAGAATATTACCCAAGGGCCAGGAGCTTTGGGGTCAGTTTAGAATTTTGCTGACCTCATTTGTAAACTAAGAACCTGTTCCCATAGGCATTAGACTAACCACCACCACCTCAGGTTGCTTTGGTCACATGTAAATCTATGCATCCTTTCTAGAAAAGTCAAATTAAGGTTATGCTCAAAAAAAAAAAAAGTTGAACTTATGAAGAATGACAAAGAAGCAGACATGGGTGTGTGTCATAAACACGGAGCAACTAGGAACTGGGAGAAGAACCGCGCGTGTCTTTTCTGATTGACAATAAAGAAACGCAGATGGAAGAAAGTCTGGTGACGTGAAGTTCTGCAAGAAAGAAAGCTGTGTTGTGAAGATGGAGGAAGCCGGTGCAATCGCAAGGTGGGGTGGGAGGGCACTTCAAAAAGCATCATAAAATGGAACCAAAAGGCAAGTTTATTTTGGCGCAAAAATGTTGAAAACTCCATGATTTTTTCCACAAGTCACATTTTTGTGAACTTTCTGAAGACCCCTTGTGTAAAAAAAATGACTTTTGTTGTAAAAGATTTTATTTTAGAGGCAGAATTAGAGAGAGACAGTGTGTGCACTTCCATCTGCTGGTTCACTCCTGGGCCAGGCTGAAGCCAGGAGCCTGGAACTCCATCTAGGTGGAGCACCTGGGACTTGAACCTGCACTCCAATATGGGATCGTGCATCACAGGCAGCGATTTAACCCATGGTGCCACAACTCCAACCCAAGAATGCTTTTTTAAATAGTTGAGTCTCCAGGCCAGCACTGTGGCACACCAGCTTGGGCTGCCACCTGAGACACTGTGGTCCTGACTGTTCCTCTTCTGATCCAACTCCCTGCTAACATGCCTGGGAAAACAGCAGGAGGTGGCTCAAGCACTTGGGCCCCTGCTGCCCACCTGGGAGACCAGGATGTAGTTCCAGGCTCTTGGCTTCAGCCTGACCCAGCTGTGGCTGTTGTGGGCATTAGTGGAGTGTTGGATCCAAGCTCATCCACGTGGGGTGTCAAGGTACGTGAAGCCGGAAATTGGAAGAACATTCCTGGAACCGTAGGTGAAAGAGACAGGCTTGATTCAGCCGGCCACAAAAGCACCAGTAACCACAGCAGCTGCCAACACCAAGAGTTGGCCTCCTTATACCCAGGGTTAACACAATAGTGGCCGACAGCCAAGGAGTCACGTGGCAGAGACAGGTCAAGCCTAACTGGGCCCGCTGACCAGCAGATAGGGCCTGCCCGGTTGTCACAGAAACACAGATAGCAGCATAGAACTTCACTCATTCCATCCACTCACCTGCACTTTCTTCTGTTCCAACATGCCACTCCTTGAACAGGTTGATTTCTTTGGGACATCGGGCACCTCCTTGTGTTCCAGACCCCCTCCCACTTGCCATTAAGGAGCAAGTTGGAGGGAATGCTACAGACTCCCTCCTGCTTGTTATCCAAGCGGGGCCAGCTTAGTCTAAGAAAACCAGTGCTGACTTAAGAAACCGACTTGGTAGGCCGGCGCCGCGGCTCACTAGGCTAATCCTCCACCTAGCGGCGCCGGCACACCGGGTTCTAGTCCCGGTCGGGGCGCCAGATTCTGTCCCGGTTGCCCCTCTTCCAGGCCAGCTCTCTGCTGTGGCCAGGGAGTGCAGTGGAGGATGGCCCAAGTGCTTGGGTCCTGCACCCCATGGGAGACCAGGATAAGTACCTGGCTCCTGCCATCGGATCAGCGCGGTGCGCCGGCCGCAGCGCGCCAGCCGCGGTGGCCATTGGAGGGTGAACCAACGGCAAAGGAAGACCTTTCTCTCTGTCTCTGTCTCTCTCTCTCTCTCTCTCTCACTGTCCATTCTGCCTGTCAAAAAAAAAAAAAGAAAGAAAAGAAACCGACTTGGTTCCGCACCTGCCATAAAGGCCTAGTCACACCCCTAAGATGAGAGGGTTGTGTGCCTTCTGCAATGTCTTGAACTGTCATTCCTGTGTGTAAAGCGATCTTACCTTGCAGTTGTGATTTGTTAATCCCCGAGGGCCTAAGATAACCCTGTGCTTCCCCCAAACTGTCCCAAAACTGCCTTGAAATTACCCCAGGGAAAGACAGAGGATGGGGTTTGACCCTTGACACAAGTTTTGTCAAGCCCGCATGCGTAAATAAACTGTGCCTTTCCTCCCGAAGCCTCCAGCGCGGTTTGGTTTCTTTGGTCATTGTCCCACACGCCACAACAGCAGTACAGGGGCAACAGCAAGCCACCAAGGCACAAAAGATATCAAGGCGAGGGTACTTAGAATCTGGCACCCCACACCACTCCCTTCAGGGGTATGGGATGAATCTCCCAAGCTCGCAAAGCAGCTCACCTCAGTGAGGGCCTCCGTGACGTCATCTTGACCATCAGGTGTGGAGGTACAGCATTTTCGTGAAGGGCAACACGAGAGCCACGCAGGCCACCAGGCCTGGGGAACGACTTCCACATTGCTAGCGTCTCAGCCAGCATCATGGAAGCCAGCGCCTGTGGCGTCGGGTTCAAGGCCGTGGCCACGTGTGCCGCAAAAGCACTCACTCCTGACTTTAGCTCAACAGCACCCTCTCCAGGAAACAGGACCGCCCTTGGGTTAAACCACCAAGGCGCGGGCTCCTCCCAGTGCCACCTGGGCTGTCCCAATTGTGACCGGTGCAGTGGTGTAATGAGTTAAGCCGCTGCCTATAATGTAGGCATCCCATATGGATGCCAGTTCCTCTCCTGGCTGCCCTCTGCTGATGGCCTTGGAAAGCAGCCAAAAATGGCCCGAGTGCTTGGGCCCCTGCCACCCACCTGGGAGAACTGGAAGGAACTCCTGGCTCCTGATTTTGGCCTGGCCAAGCTCTGCCCATTGTTGCCATTTTGGGAGTGAAGCAATGGATAGGAGATCTCTCTTTGTGTTTCCCCTCTCTCTGACTTTCAAATAAATAAATAAATAAATAAGCCTTTAAAAAAAAAAAGTCTTGCCAGAGATACAAGTTTGCCCCTAAGTGTACCTGCTAGTGCAGTTAGCTGGGAGGTCTTGAAGCTGTGCTGTCCACAAACCCAAATATGTCTGGGAAGGAGCACACCCACAGGCTTATTACCAGTATGCTTTTGTCCATGCCACCAATAATGGGGCTTTGTAACCCTAGTAATATTTTCTTTTATTCCTTTTTTAAAGATTTATTTACTTGAAAGGCAGAATAACAGAGAAGCATAGGCACACACACACACACACACACACACAGAAAGGTCTTCCATCTGCTGGTTTACTCCCTAGATGGCTGCAATGGCCGGAGCTGTGCCTATCTGAAGCCAGGAGCCAGGAGTTTCTTCCAGGTCTCCCACGCAGGCACAGGGGCCCAAGGACTTAGGCCATCTTCGACTGCTTTCCCAGGCCATAGCAGAAAGATGGATTGGAAGTAGAGCAGCCAGAACTCGAACTGGTGACTATATGGGATGCCGGTGCTGCAGGAGGTGGCTTTACCCGCTACACCACAGCGCCGACCCCCCTAGTAATACTTTCACACATATCCTGTGGGATTCATCCTGCAGTGTGATTCTCAGAGGGTGAGGGAAGGAGGGGACTGCCACTGGGAAGGCAGTGGAAGATGATCTAACTGCTTGAGCCCCTGCCCTGTGTGGGAGATCCGGATGAGACGTCTGGCTCCTGGCTTCCACCTGACCCTGCCCTGACCGTTGCAACCATCTGGAGTGAACCAGTAGATAGAAGATATCTCTCTCCCTTTCTCTCCTTTCTCTCTCTCTCTCTCTAACTCTGACATTCAAATAAATAAAGGAACCTAAAAAAAAATTCTCAGTGGGCCATTGCTGTTTTCTACACATGTAGACCTTGTGCCTAAGCTCTGTTCCCCCAGGCAACCATTCCATATGGCTTATTCAAGGAGCAGGCTGCGGCTGCCTCCACACCGTCTCAGCAGGTTCTCGATTGCTCACTGGGTTGCACCCTGTCTTGGGCTGGAAGGGTTCTTGGAAGACAGTCACGTCCAGATCTCCTTAGCAGCTGGGTGGATGTGCCACAAGAATCCCCTACCTGCTCCTGTGGCACATTCAACATAACACCCAGCACTGGGATACGTTATGCACCATGGCGTGTGTACTGTTGGCTTGAATCAGCCTGGTGGAAAAGGTTAAGTGTAACACAGAAACCATCACGGGCAAGTCATGCCCTTCAGGCAATCCACAAGCCACTGTTTTATCTCTGGGTAGGACAGTAGCAGGGAAGGGAGGACGTCCTGGTCAGCGGTAGCCATCTCTTGTGTTTGGCTGACAATATCATGGGCAGTTGCAGAGCAGGCCACGTGGCCAACACACGTTTCCCTCAATGGGCCACCTTGACCACGCCTGGGGACTTGCCCTGGTACCGGGGTCAGCCATGCCGTTACCAAGGGTGTTCCTTGGAACTGATATTGCATCCCTGCTCCCCATAGAGTAAGGAAGGCCATCCAGGGACTGACATTAGTCGTCATAAACCAGGGCCACAACCATTTACCTGTGTCTCTTTCTGTTAAAGGGGAGGGAGCTGGGGACAATCGAAGGCCATGAGGGCCATTCTCCGGCTGCAGAAGTTCATCCCCTGTGTTAACCTGAGTAAGTATACACGGTGGCTGCCTACGCAGTAACCTATCTAATGGAGACGTCCCTCTCTTTCTCGGTTGTTCAACAAATAGAACACTCAGTTCAACCAGTGGGTCCACCCCTTGAAAGTAGGTGGGTGAGTTCCCAACCCATGAATTTTCTTTTAGCAGGCTATTATAGCATTCCATCATGCCGGCATCTTGTGGCCTGTAGGGGACATGGGATTGCCAAGATATATTCAGATATTTAGCCCAGACTTAAACATCAATGGCCTACGAAATGCAAACTCCAGTCACTGGCTAACTACCGGGCTACACTGATTTAGGTGCTCCAGCACCCATATGACCACATCCTGAGTGGCCGTGAGAGCTGGGTGGGGAAAAAGAAGTCCTGTGGCTGCGTCCATGGCTGTGAACATGTACTTGAGTCCCTCTTCTGAGGGTGGAGGTCCTATAAAATCCACGTGCCAGTGCTGCCGGGGATGGGATCTTCTCCACGCAGCATGGGACCAGGTGTGGGACGCAGCCCAAACCGTCTTGGTTGTGCTCGTGTGCATCTCGGGCATCTGCTGACCACACTGGAGCACTGGCAAAGTCCCTGCTGCACGCTGTGGGTGGCCCAGACCACAGGCTGTCCGACTTGAACTCCATAGCTGAAATCTACCTTGTCGGTAACTCGGGCTCCCGCCTGGTGTCACTGCTGCAGCCCTCAACGAGGGCCCTGTCCCATGACCTTGCCCGCTCTCACGAGCACCCAACAGCTTTATGAAGACTGATGTCAGCTTTCTTGTAGCCGAGTCATTTTTCCTTTTATCTTGGTCTTTGGTTCCCTTCGCCAGGTGATGGAGATCCTGTGCTTGTTGCTTTATCAGGGCCAGCTGTGTCAAGGTCGCTCGTCGCTGGTTCCACAGCTGTTGTAGCTGCCTCTCTATTCCTCCCACCCCTTCCCCAGAAGATGGCGAGGTGAACGTGTGGCCTTGGGCAGAGCTCACCACAGTTGCCTGCAAGTGCCTGTCTTTTCCCCCACTTGTTTTCCCTAAGCTCTGTCGCAAGCTCCGCTCTCCACGGATCTCTGCCTGCAGCTCAGTATTATTTCCTGCCCACAAGGCAGTTAGACAGACTCACACTGCAACCCTGCTCTTATCTTAGCATCTCTCTGAACCTATGCAATGGCTTTTTTACAGTAATGGGTGAGTCAGAGACTCCAGCCCACTCCTGGGGGTAGAGGAGATTCAGGCCCATAAGGCTACAGCCACTTGTGGTTATTCACCCCCAAATTCTATGCTGGCCTGAAAAGAATCCTGCTCCCAGCACCAAAGTGTATGCCTGTACCCGGCCTCCAGCCATTCCTCCACGCGGCGGAGTTCTCATACCCGGGCGTCGCTGGCAAGTGTGACTTCATGTTGCTGCTTCAATGCCGTAAACCATAGCCATCCTGCCTGCCCAGCACTGCCCTCCGCCATGTCATCCAGGACATATAGAGCCTTTTGCAAGGCTTGGGGACTCCCAACCACCTGTTTCCATTCCTGCCAAGATGCTAGGACCAACACCACTGGATACCACGGGATATCCCGGCCTTGCTGGAGGCCACATGTCCTCCAGCAGGACACCCAAGGGCACTTACCCTAGATTCCTGCCAGCTATGCCAGACGCTGGATCCATGCTTGGCTGCCTGGGATTTTGAGGTGCGCAAAGCCAGAAACTGGAAGAACACTCACGGAACAGTAGGTAGAGGCAGCAGGCTTTATTCAGCCGGCAGCAGCAAAAGCAGCATCAGTAACAACAGCAGCTGCCAACAACACCAGAGTTGGCCTCCCTTATATCCAGGGTTTACACAATAGTGGCCGTCAGCCAACGGGGTCACATAACAGAAAATGTATCAGCCTAACTGGCCCGCTGACCAGCAGAGAATGTATCAGCCACGGGGGCCTGCCCGGTTGTCATAGAAACACAGATAACAGGGGGCCGGTGCTGTGGCATAGTAGGCTAAGCTTCTGCCAGCGGTGCCGGCATCTCATATGGATGACAGTTCCTGTGCCGGCTGCTCTTCTTCCGATCCAGCTCTCTGCGTATGGCCTGGGAAAGTTGTGGAAGATGGCCCAAGTGCTTGGGCCCCTGCACTCATGTGGGAGACCCGGAAGAAGCTCCTGACCCCTGGCTTCCAGCTCCGGCCATTGCAGCCATCTGGGG